ATAGGAGTGTCAGGTCGTGTAGACCTTACTTTCTTTTGTGTGTCTTCTGTTGCGTAATTTGCTCTGCTCTTGGTCACCTTGTGGTCAAGGCAATGTTCTTTTTCAGGGGTCATAATTCTAACTCTGGACACTCCTGCCTTCAGTTCTCATTATACCTGTGACCATCACAGTCATTGATCACTTGACCACTCTGCAGTGTTTGCCCTTGGACTGTTCGAAACGATTATGCAACATTACAGATACCCTTTCCTTCTTGCTCGGTCCACTAGAGGGTCTGCAGATGGAGTAAAATGCTCCAGTTGGCTAGGCTGTGGGATCAGGTCAATGAAGAGGAAAGGAGCTTGTGTGTATATGTTTTATGAGACAGCAGCTGGGTGTTAGATAATGCACATTAATACTGCTGTCGGGGCCTATTGTCTCCGAGACCTAGTCTCTCTCTCTTTGCAGGTGTGTCAAATCGCTGCTCATTGAAATTCTTAATTAACTCAGTTGGCCCAGGGGTGCAGTCACTTGGTGGACTTTAGCTAGGCTCGAAATCATTATGGCTTGCAGCTGGCAACGAGAGAGACTAGGTTTGATCACCAATGTGCTTCAGATTGGCTGTAATTCTGTTTGCCCTGCAGTTTACATCAGCGAGAGATATAATCAGAGACTACTGCCTCAAACTTGGCTTGCCTTCCAGTCAAAGATCCAAGTGTGTCATTTGGCTTGATTTTACAACCTTGACACAGGCCTCTGAGTGCTAGTGGTAGTTTTCTTTGTTTTCAGATGGATATCGTATAGCTTACCTCAGCAGCAGATATCATTAGTGGATATTAGATACAGTGAGGTGTTCCATTGTATTAGTCCAAATACTCTCGCAAATTACACTATATAGACAAAAGTATTGGGACACCCCTCCTAATTGTTGAATTCAGGTGTTTCAGCCACACCCATTGCTAACAGGTAAAATTAGATAAAATTAGGCACATAGCCTTGCAATCTCGATAGACAAACACTGGCAGTAGAATATGTCATACTGATGAGCTCAGTGACTTTAAACATGGCACTGTCATAGGATGCCATCTCCGCCACAAGTCTCACAAATTTCTGTCCTGCTAGATCTGTCAACTGTAAGTGCTATTATTGTGAAATGGAAGCACCTAGGCCCAACAACAGCTTAGCCACGAAGCGGGACCCCACAAACTCACAGAGTGGGGTAGCAAAGTGCTGAAACGCAGTGCCTATCCTCTGTTGTAAAGCACGCCACCACTGGTCTCTGAAGCAGTGGAAACGCATTCTGTGGAGTGATGAATCACGCTTCTGTATCTGGCAGTCTGATGGACAAGTCTGGATTTGCGAACGCCAGGAGAACGTTATGTACCTGACTGCATTGTGCCAACAGTAAAGTTTGGTGGAGGAGGGATAATGCTATGGGGGTGCTTATGAGGGATTGCCCCTGGCCCCTTAGGTTTCGGTGAAGGGTAATATTAATGCTTCAGCAGACCAAGACATTTTGGACAATGGCATGCTTCCAACTTTGTGGGAACAGTTTAGGAAGGGCCCTTTTCTGTTCCAGCGTGACTGAGCCCCAGTGTACAAGACGAGCCAGGCCCTCTCATCCAACATCAGTGTCTGACCTCGCAAATGCTCTTCTGGGTGACCAGGCAAACATTCCCTCAGACACACTTTTGTAGAAAGCTTCCCAGAAGAGTGGAAACTGTTATAGCTGCAAAGGGGGGCCAACTCCATATTAATGCCTATGGATTCAGAATGGGATGTCATAAAAGCTCCTGTAGGTGCAGTGTGTAGGTGTCCCAATACTTTTATGTATATATAATGTATCTGTGCATTTTTTCATTTTGCCGCATTTGTAACCCTAAAGAAATAAAGATTATATTTCTCTGTAATGCTAATTCAGTAGTAGTTCCAATTATTGCATTTTATAAATGTTTTTTTCTGATTTTAGCGATATGTACAGCTGTATGCAAAAGTTTGGGTGCCCTTGGTCACCCGACATGTTTATAATAAGTTAACACATCTTCTACAGAGATCATACCTCTGCACGCTTTTATGCACAGTTACTGTTTAGTTGCTGAATTTACTGTATTGGGGGGAAAAATAAAACATACAATGTGGCCTGTCCCAAAGTTCTGGCAAATTTTATGTGCTTTATATTGGGGACAAATTCTGGCATTGTTTTTAATGCCTAATTTTTTTGCACTAAAATTTGCAGAAAAATTACATTTTGTTGTCAAGTTTGTTCTTTGTACTGGATGTGTTGACTTGCTTTCATTTAGAAGAGTTTAAACTTTTGTATATGACTGTACGTAAAAAAATTTCAGATTTCAGCATCTGCCTGCAATTGCCGTATGGAACGCTTCGGTTGCGGGCGGGGCAAATGATTCAGATTTTCTGCGGGAGGGGGCAGGAGCGGGATGAAATCTTGTGGCAGAGGGACTGAAAAAACAGTCCAGCACAGACCTCTGTCATAAACCTGTAACCTGAAAATGAACCTTTGTTTATTATTAAATTAGTCTTTGTCGTATATTTTAATGAAGATTTGTTTGTTTGAACCCCATCTTATTTCAGTACCAGATTTACACTGATTGACCACAGGTCCTTATTGGAGTTTATGACTAAAACCATATGGATCTTGAATTAGTTTTGCATGCTAACATGATTGGAGGTCACAGATCACTGTAAACGTGATACATTTTTAAACTGTTTTTTAACCAAGCATCAACTCAAAAATCCACATAAACCATTGGTGAAATTTTGAAATATTGGTAAATGTGCCTTTTATGGACTTTAAAAGAAAGTACAGGAATGAGGAACAGGTAAGTAAAAAAACATGCATATGTGAGTTTTACATGCCCAAACCAGCAGAATTGTTACAGTGCTCCAAATTCAGAATTGTTACTTGGTGTTACTTCTTTGGATTGAGTATGTATTTTTCTTGTCTATGTTCACTCTCTCAGCACAACAGCAGAAAGATTTTGAACAGACTACGCTTTCAAAAAGTTTTGGACAAATTCAGTCATTTAAAAAAAAATTTGACACGTCCTCAGCGTCCCCAAAGTAAATTACGTCTCTGCTTTTGATATACTTGTTAAACTCTCTGCATGATGTCAGTGCTTCATCTTTGCAGGACTCTTTTTGCCCTGGCTTCAGCAGTTTCATCAGTAGAATTATTATGGAATGTCTCTCGTGGCAGAACACCAGATGGACACGGAGCAGAGTGACCACTGCAGTGTCTTTAGCTCAGCTGATGTGAGCTCACATGTGCATAATGTCTTTTATTTGGCTGGACAGATGAGTGGCATTTACAACGTCGGCTGTTCTTCACCCACTAATGACCTCCCACTACGAACCACCCTTGATTAAAAAACTCCCAATTGGACAGCGTTTTTAGTGGAGGCAGAATTTATGATGAGTGTGAGGTTTTCGTTTGATTGGGAGGTTGGAAAGTTTTCCAAGAAATGGAAATGTGCCAGTGCTTATGCATTCCTTGAATAAAACATCTCAGGATTGTGGATGAGAGTGCTGATAGCTGGTAGTGCTGAGCGATATGTATTCTATATCGGTAGTGCTGTCACACAACAATATAGATTTTTAGTTATAGCAGCATTGACAGATTAAAAAAACGTAGTTAACTTCAGCTTATGTTATCTGCTGGGTACTTCATATTAAAAAATAGAACTAATGACTGAATAAAAATTAAGTTTCCTTTCAAAAGATCCAGTTTTGGTCCAGTTACAACACTGTAAATTTCCTTGTAGTTTTAAAAACCAAAAGAAAATAGTCCAATCAAAATAAGCTCTGTCTTATTTGACGTTCTTTTAACATAGAGTACTATACTGAGAAAGCATGGGTTCTTCAGCTTTATTAAAGAGCCCAGATCATGGAAACCCAGTTGTTTGTTCTTTTGAAGAAAAGAGTTTAATGTAATATGTAAACATTGCTTTAAAACATACTGTCGACTCCTCAGTCCGTGCGGTCCCTGTTTGGAAACTATGTAGCAAAAATGTCCCATTTTGAATTCACTGTTTTTGTGAGGTCACAAGAAGTACCATATTTATGTATTCACCTATTCAACCTACAGCGGTTTTTCCCCACCTTCTTTATAACTTTAATTATAAGGAGTTATAAGGAGCCTGGACTGTTTTCTTTGAAAGAGGCACAAAACAGCAGCCACTAGAGCTCCTTTACAAATATCAGTCTCATTCTTTGGAAAATGAATTATGACTGTTGTTGGTGCATTAAACCACAACAACATTATAAGTGAAAAGAAAAAAGATGGATACCATTTCATACTATGTCACTATTATTACAAAAATATGACATTTTATTATCGCAGACTAGCACTAGTAAGACAATGTCTGGAAAAGATGTGAAATTTTCAGTTAATGTAAATTTTATATATGAATATTGGAGATGTGGCTGTATGTGAGTGTGCGCCCATGCTTGTGCATTGGATGTGGAATCTGATTGTGTGAATGAGATCGCCCTTTCCTGTGTGCGTAGTGTTGCCCTTCAGACTGCCTTTGGTCTGTACGGCAGTAAATTACCCATAAAGCATTGGTTTGGTGAACACAGTTCGGAGAGGCTGTACATTTCCTTTATTACTCCAGTCCAGATCCAGACACTGTAGTTATCACCCAACAAAGGAGAGAGAAAGAAAGAGAGACAAGGGTGATGACCAAACACAACTGTAACGGTTGTTAGGAAGCATAACAGAGTTAGGTAAGCACGTATATCGTGATAAGCCAGTAAGTAATGAATATAACAACGTCAGTAGTGAGTCTCTGGGAAACATTTGATGTTTAATTGAACAATGTTTACTGTCTTTGTCCGATAGTAGTTTAATAAGGCTAATCTGGTCTACAGTTCAAACACAAATACATTGTCACATGGGCTGCCATATTGACAAATCAAATGAAGGGTTATTGCTGTTCTGTTTAGCTTCTTATTTGTCCATCCCTTTTTAACCTCTCGTTCATTGTTGTTCTGTCTTTTAGTTGGTGGCCTCCATCATTTTCGTCAGCCTGGGTGTAATCTCTTGTTTCTTCTGCGCCATCGTGGACGGCATCATTGCTGCTGAGTTTATTGTAAGTAGCATATTAGACCATCCAAAATCTCGAAGACTGTAAAATCTGAACAAAATCTGAACCCCTCCCCACAAATACAGACTTGTATATGTACATACTAAATCACATTTACCTCCTAGCCCCTATCTCTTTCTTGCACACATGCAGCTTCTCTCCTCTCATACACGTGTGCACTCATCTGCCACTGTCTTTCTCGTGCTGTGTGGCTGCCCTGGTAATGAAACTTTGTGGATATAATCAAGCAGAAGCCTTGTCTCGTCTGGCCGGATGACTGTTAGTGTCAGTGCCTCATTCATCAGAGTGCCGCTGCACACTGGCCACAGCAGACACATCCATTTCTCCTGCAGCCCCGTCACTGTTACCAGTGCCAACTGCAGGGCCACTGGTAGCCATCATGTTTTACACTGTCTCATACTGCTTTCTTCAAGTACATCCTGTCAAACTTCACCGTGCAGGTTGCCAGGTTTAACGTTGTTTTGAGGACCATGGTTTTTGAGTCACAAGATAAATTTTTTTTTAGTTTTGATTCATCATGATGCAAATGTGTTAAAAAAAATATAATCTGGTGCCCTTGAATAAGTTCAAAGAAGAAAGGGTTTCAATCTAAAACTCATTATACGCCAGTTTCACATTGTTTGGAGTGAGGTTTATACATACAGTGGGGTGCGAAAGTTTGGGCAGCCTTGTTAATTTTCCTGATTTGCCTTTATAAATCATTGATTGTTTGGATAAAAAAATTCCGTTAAATATATCATATAGGGGACAAACACAGTGATACTTGAGAAGTGTAAACGAAGTTTATATGAATTACAGAAAGTGTGCAATAATTGTCTAAACAAAATTAGGCAGGTGCATAAATTTGGGCACCAAAAAAAAAACCTTAACTCAATATTTAGTAGATCCTCCTTTCGCAGAAATAACAGCCTCTAAACGCTTCCTATAGCTTCTAATGAGAGTCTGGATTGTGGCTGAAGGTATTTTAGACCATTCTTCTTTACAAAACATCTCTAGTTCATTCAGGTTTGATGGTTTCCGAGCATGGACAGCTCTCTTTAAGTGACACCACAGATTTTCAATAATATTCAGGTCTGGGGACTGAGATGGCCATTCCAGAATGTTGTACTTGTTCCTCTGCATGAATACCTTGAGTAGATTTTGAGCAGTGTTTAGGGTCGTTGTCTTGTTGGAAGATCCAGCCCCGGCGCAGCTTCAGCTTTGTCACTGATTCCTGGACGTTGATCTCCAGAATCTGCTGATATTGATTGGAATCCATGCGTCCCTCAACTTTAACAAGATTCCCAGTCCCTGTACTGGCCACACAGCCCCACAGCATGATGGAACCACCACCAAATTTTACTGTAGGTAGCAGGTGTTTTTCTTGGAGTGCTGTGTTCTTTTTCCTCCATGCATAACGACCCTTATTATGCCCAAATAACTCTATTTTAGTTTCATCAGTCCACAGCACCTTATTCCAAAATGAAGCTGGCTTGTCCAAATGTGCTTTAGCATACCTCAAGCGGCTCTGTTTGTGATGTGGGCGGAGAAAAGGCTTCCTCTGCATCACTCTCCCATACAGCATCTCCTTGTGTAAAGTGCGCCGAATAGTTGAACGATGCACACTGACTCCATCAGCAGCAAGATCATGTTGTAGGTCTTTGGTGCTGGTCTGTGGGTTGACTCTGACTGTTCTCAACATCCTTCGCTTCTGTTTATTCGAGATTTTTCTTGGTTTGCCACTTCGAGCCTTGACTTGAACTGTGCCTGTGGTCTTCCATTTTCTCACAATGTTTCTCACAGTGGAGACTGAAAGCTGAAATCTCTGAGATAGCTTTCTGTATCCTTCCCCTAAACCATGACGGTGAACAATCTTTGTTTTCAGGTCATTTGAAAGTTGTTTTGAGACTCCCATGCTGCGACTCTTCAGAGAAGATGCAAAGAGGAGAAAAACTTACAATTGCCCCCCTTAAATACCTTTCTCATAATTGGAGTCACCTGTGTATGGAGGTCAAGGGTCACTGAACTTACCAAACCAAATTTGAGTTCCAATAATTAGTTCTAAAGGTTTTGAAATCAATAAAATGACAACAGTGCCCAAATTTATGTACCTGCCTACTTTTTTTAACCAATTATTGCACACTTTCTGTAAATCATATAAACTTCATTTCACTTCTCAAATATCACTGTGTTTGTCCCCTATATGATATATTTCACGGAATTTTTTTATCCAAACAATCAATGATTTATAAAGGTAAATCAGGAAAATTAACAAGGCTGCCCAAACTTTCGCACCCCACTGTATATATCTATGCTATTTCATGATTAATACCACCTTTATTAGAGAAATGCAAATGTGTTCTATTAAACATCAGCTGCTGTTCTTTTCAAAAACTTGATGACCTACATTTGATGACCTACATAAGCTTAAACCTTACAAGTAACTGTTATTTCTGTGACTGTTACTGCCAGGCCTTCAGTTTGGGCCATAAAAATCAATATGAGGGTAAAGACAGACGTCTATGATAATGCTAATTTCTGCTAGCTCATCTATAGGATTTTAGAAGTATGTTAGTGCTAAGCATTTATGCTGTTCTAGATTAAACACAGACATTTGAAGCTTGCAAAAGACTTTAAAAAGGGCAATGTTTAAAGCTTATAAGAGACATCAACATACATTATCCTTTTATGTACTGTGACTGTTTCAGTAAAGAACCCTGGTGCTTCCTCTGCTTTAAAATCTGACTGAAACCTGTTATGTTACCATTCGTGCTCACAGTCAGTTATGTATCCAGAACTTCCACAAGGCCTAGAGCAACGTTTTTTCCTCAAAATTGTTCCAAACCATTGTAACTGAAAATGTGATTGGTTCATTCCACTGTCAGTTTCTAATTATTCCCAGTAGCAGAGCTCACTTGGCTACACCTACATGGATAACACAGGAAAAAAAATCCTTATTGGACAATAAGGATTAACCTTTTTATCTCCAACCAAAACTTAACAATGTAAAAGGAACATTATGACAACACTTGCAGAGTTTAAACACAACCAGAATGATGAGTCTATCAAATAAGGTAAGGTTTTCCTCTGATTATATCTCACTCATAGTTTCTTACTGAAACAAGCGGAGAGACTTTGTTTGAAAAGCAGATTCAGTCAATACCACATTTGCGTTAGTAGGTAGAAGAGGAGATTATTTGAATTTGGGTGAAAGTTATTGTTGTGTGTACAGTCTTGCTTTGCAGAGAGAAAAAAGATTAACATTTACATTTTTGTCATTGAAACTAAAAAAACTGAAAAAAAGACAAACTTGACAAAACAATATAAATAGAATGTAAATGCAATTGACTCTGTACCAATGTAGCCTAATTAATTGTGATTTATTATATTGAAAGAGTATAGCAGAATAATTGCTCTAGACCTCAATGTACTACATTTAATTTCATGACTTCTGTGACATCCCACTTTATTTTGTCTAACCCTGCTTTCACTGACATCTTGTTGCACTGATATCAAGGATGAAGTTTTTACAGATGCATTAATCATTAAACACTGCATTGGAAGACAGCAGTTCCGGATGGTGTTGTGGACAAATCAAATTAATGGCATTATGCAATATGATGTACAGTGCAGTCAGACTCACATGCTGCACTTAATATCGTACTCTCTATAGCAGTGGCCTGAAGACATTTCTGTCTCACAGCTCCTCGCTGACAGGCTCTATCTCTCTCTTTCCACACTCTGTTTGCCCACTTGGTGCTGGGTGGGCCATTGCTTTATCTTAGAAACCTTCTATGACCCATAAAACACTGCTGATGGAATCGGGCAACCAAAGCCAGAGATGAACGACAGTGTCAGTGTTTTCCTGAGGTGCTGCATTTATTAAAAGGGGTGTTTCAGAATCATTTTGACAGGCTGGAGCTCACAGGTTGCAATCACTGTGCTTATACTTTTACGTAGTTGCCATATCACTTATTTTCTAAAGATCTTGTTTTTAAGATCAACCAAGAGCAGATGTTTGAACCTGGTCGTCTGAGTAGCTCCTCCAGCCAGATAGAGCACAGTTCACAGTAATACATTGCATGTCAGAAGTTGGGGACCTAATGGTTACTTTACTAGTTTGCAGTAACTTAACGTATTAAAGACTAACCAACTTAGTTTTCAGCTGTGAATAGCTGTACTAACTTGCACATAATGTTAACTTTTATCCACTTTTTGTGATGTCAGCACTCACCACTCTGTTTTTAACAATAGTTTGGTAAATAAAACAAAAATTCAAACAAAACCTGCTGTTCATACCAAGGAAGACACTGACCCCCGTGTGGAATATATGTCGATTGTATTATTTGTATTTCATTGAAAAGTAACCCCAGAGAAGGTAAAGTGTCCCCAAACTTTGGACAGGCAGTGTATATGACAGCCAATCAAAGCTGTCTGTTATGGTTACATACAAGGGTTAACTAAGGGCTGCACTGGAGCAGAGCTCTCACACCACTGGTTTGTGTAAATGGCAAACGCTGAGCTCTAGTGCTGTATTTGATGGAAATGGAAATTGTTTCAAACAGTCTTATAACTGAGGAAGCTAAATCATACATTTAATCATACAGTAGGCCTGGTCTATGTAAAAATTACATTTATACATTTTTTGACAGCCTTGCGTAACTATTATGTCTGTCCTGTTGTTTTACCAACTGGCTGACAACTGATCACAGTGTTTGTAGATTAAAATTGATAATCAGCTCCATTAGTTCAGCACAGTTAAACTGGTTAGTGACATTTGGTAGGAAGGCTGGGTTTACAGTAGTTTGAGAAGGTTGTTTCCAAATCTGATTAGATGGCACTCTGCAGTAATGTGCAACACAGCTGAATCATTGTGCATATTTTCTGGCTGTATTATCTCCACCATCGTCTATTAAAAACAGGAGGCAGCTACTTTAAGAATACTGTTCAGGAACGTTTGGTCTGAAAGGGTTCTTGAAGTCAGATGAGTGATGTTATTGTTTGGAACAGTTCACTTTGCTAGTTTAAAGCTTTCAGTGTTACTTTTGTCTTTGTCAGAAAATGTTTGTTTTGATTTATTTTGATGCCAAAACTGGCAAACAAGAAATACTAAAACATCCAAGCATTTGATTTAAATTAATCCCTAAAGACAAACAGATTACTTATCATGCTATTTATCACGCCATCAATCATGTTTTCATTATATCAGTGCTGAGAACTCCATATAATACCAAATAAATTGAACAATATTGTTCCCATATTGTTGACACCCATAGAACAACGATGCAGGACTTGCCCGCTTCCAGAATCCCAATTCAGCTTTCTCGCTGATCGAGCGAAGATGATGTCTTAATACGATGTAGTTCTTCAGTCAAAAATCAAGCTTAACCAGTTTAAATATAATGGTCAGTTAGTATTGGAGCATTGTAGGGGTTTACTGTGAAAACTGATGTACTCCTACATTAGGCTGGACCTTGCTCTAACCCAGCGGTCACCTCCTCCTGGATATCTACTTTCCTGCAATTCCAACTTGCATCTAATGTTGCACCACAAACACTACTTCATCTGCTCCAGTGCTTTCGAAGAAGTGAATTAGCTGGAGAAGACTGTGGTTGCAGTTGGTGTGCCAGAAGGAAGATCTCCAGGATCAGAGATGGTGACCACTGGTTCCTGCTATTGTGCATATGGTATTTAAAGTTTTATTAGCTGTAGTGCTTGCATTGTCTTGGTATTCTAGGAAGCAGGATTTAACAGCTACCTTGCATTCATTGATTTTTGGCTGACTGATTTTATGTACATTTAATAAAACAGGTTTATGTGAAGTAGTGGAAATCAAAACTCAATTCAAGGATGAATAACTGGCATTCTCTAAATTTATTTGGATCACAGAGATTGAATATGACGTCACATCCACTGTGGAAAAAACAATAACAACAATGTCCACACAGAATCTGGTCCTTAAATAAAGTCACAGAGGCGTGTAATGTTGGATCAATAAATGCAGTAAGAAGGTGCTGTAATGTGCCCAGCTAAACTTACAGAATATTTAATTCATTGATGTTTATAAGTATCTGCTATAAATGTTTTTACATATACTCATAAATATATACACACTTCATACAATCAGAAGATAAAACAAGCTTTTACGTGTTATTCTTTCACACTTAATTTTACAGCCTGTGGCCTCCAGTTGGATTCAACACACACTGGAGTGCACATTGCTTGCGTTGCACTTTAAGACTAGACATGCCGTATTTCAAAAAGCCCATTAAAGTTTAATTGCAGAAATGGGAATCGATATGGCTGTGAAATTGAGTTTACTGTTGTTCAATTTGCTCAGTCCATAAACACTGCACTCCTTCTCCTCCTTGTTCTCTCCTTTCCACCCACTCTAGGACAGGAGACCTCTAATGGAGGGGAGGTGCGAGTTTTACGCCAGTGGCTCAGGCTACGCGTACGACAACTACTACACTGAGGTGAGTATGAACCCCTCACAGCAAATCACACACTAATCCATGGCTGTTCCACTAAATCAGGCAAATGCCAGTCTCAACAGTACTAACTGTGTCTGTCATATTAAAATCTCCTACCTTTTTCATTTTCAATGAAAGTGTCAATTATTGAAAAGCTGTTGTTGGCAAGTACAGCTTTGAGATGTCTACAGTAAGAAGTAATTAGCTTTTTGCAGCTGTGTGGTTCAGTTTTGGCTCCCTCCTCTTAACAAACCATCTTCAATTCTCCATGGTTATGAGGGTCCCTCTGATTGACCCAAAATTTCAAAATCCTTCATAAAGTTTCAGTGAGATTCAAGTCAGAACAACAAGCATCTTCACCTTTTTTAGAAACCGGTAGAGTTATTTTGGCTGTGTGTTTGGGGTCGTTGAGTTGTTGTAACATCCATCTTCCCAGATACAGTTAGTTGGAAGATGAAATTAAATTCTTCTGTAATATCTCCAGTACATTGCTCCATTCGTGTTCTGTCTGATCAGACTACGTTTTTCCAAAAGAGTTCGGATTTGTTTTGCGTGGAATGTGATGGAGTTAATTGCTTATTGTTGTCTGTGTAACTGTTCTTCCAGCTGCTTTCAACATGTGGTCCAACATATATACACTTGTTTCTCTGTCTGTTTAGCTTTTTAAGCATCTTTGTTTATGCTTATGAATACATATCTTTTTTGTTCATATTTATAAGAACAAGGTCAAGAGACATTACGTGTGTACATTCGGCGTGGACAAATCTATTGGAAGTAAATCAAATAACAAAAAATGTCTGAATACTTGTTTCCCCGTCACTGTACCAGAGCTTATGTTTGAACTTATGTACAGCTGGTGTAACGAGCCCCTGGACTTTGGCCTATCAGGACAGGAATTGATGACCTCTGCTATAGACGTTGTGGATTTTGTTGCTTGTCATGACTCTTAGTTTAAAGTGCCCTCTGCTGGTGTAAAGTTGCCAGTGCAACTTACTTTCATTTTATGTGAGTCAGTACTGTAGAACTTGGTGCAGAATCTCATTGCCCGTCTCTTCATCTCCTTGTCTTTTACCTTTTGTTTGTTTAGGTTACGTGTCAGTCCTATAATGAGCAGTGTAAACTGAAGGTGAAGAGCAACACCTGCTACTGCTGTGATTTACATAGTTGTGAGAGGTAAGCTGCCTCTGAGCACTCTGTTAACACTCTTGAACTAATAATGGCTTTGGTGCCCTTTTTCAGAATATGTGGGTCATGAAAATGTTTGAAGTTTAATGTTTGTGACTGTCTTTGTCCCTCTAGCCCAGACTACCACGCCCATTACTTTAAGTTTACTGGTGTGAGTAGTTGCTGGGACGTGGTGCACCTGCACAGGCTGCTGTGGTCGAATGTTGTGCTCAACGTGCTGGGAGTCTTCCTGGGCATCATCACTGCTGCCATACTAGGAGCTTTCAAGGACATGGTGAGACCTTCACTTATACTGATTATGCTATGCTACAAAGGAATAGTTGAGCAGAAAGTCACAATTACACGACTTTCACCTTAAACCAAATGTAGTCAATTAACAAAGACATGTTTGGTGTCAGGTCGCCTTTTGTCCATTTTTATAGATAACAGTGTGTTATACAGTGTCAGAAATGACATTAGCAAGTCTGTTTAAGATTATTCAGCTTTCATATTGTTTCAGTGTGTGATGATTCAAGCATGCAGGTTGCACAATGCTAAATAATGGCTATAAGCTTTAATTACTTCAGGCTTTCATTAGCCTCATAGCTTCAGTGCAAAACTAAAGAGGCAAGCTGCACACAACCAAACATGTCTTGGCTGACTGACTGCATTTTGAATAAGATTTTTTTTGGTAACACTTTCTATGAATGTCACCTTTGTAAGCATCTATAAACGCATTCATAACATGTTATAATGCATGCATAAGACATAAATAGCTATAAATATTTATAAAAATGCATTATACATTATAGCCATGTTTATTATGCATTATGAATTGTTAACATAATACATTATAAGTACTGATCGTAACAAATTATAAGAGCTCATAAGTTGTATTAGTCTGCTCTAAGTAAAGTGAAGCGTACTGTACTAAAGCCTCTTCTAGTGTTAAGAGTGAGGCTTCAAGTTGAAGTATTTACTGAGGAATTTACTGAAACACTAAAACATACATAATAAAGCACATTACAGGCTTCAAATGTCAGAGTTTAAACTAGTGCTGCTATCAGTGTTTTACCCAATGTGGGAAAGTCAATGTACACCACCGTTAGCTTGGTATTTGTCTTTACGCTCTCCAAGCTGCGACTTATTGGCACTGACATTATAACATGTTATTAACACTATTTATAATGCATTATATTAACAATTCATAATGTATAATAAACATGGCTATAAAATAATTCAGTGTAATTCTTTTTTATAAATATTTATAACCATGTTTATAATGCCTTATGAACACATTATAACATGTTATACATGTGTTTATAGATGCTTACAAAGGTGACATTCATAGAAAGTGTTACCATTTTTTTTTTCAAAACTGTTCATGTAATTCTCTGGTCATTTATCATAGGTAAACATTTCAATAAATACAATACCAAGCAGATTTACTACAGACATGTTTACTCCTTGCTTCTCCTCCTGCACTGTAGGCTCCAGTGGTTCAGACTCAGATGGCTCCCAGTCCTGCTCCACCACCTCACATCCTCTATAACCCCACCCAGCACATGCTCACCTATGCAAGCTTCTGCCCCTCTGGACAGGCCCTACCCGCCTACCCTAACTACCCTATGCCCATGCAGGTAACCATAGTTACAAAGACCCTTCTCAAGCCTGCACCTGGCTGACTGTAGATGCCACATTTACCATCACTTTTGATGTTCTCTACTTCTTTGCCTCCAGCACCTGAACGGTTACGCAGGACCAAGCCCTTCTCAGCCCAGCCCTGAGGTGGCTGTGTCCCCATCAGATGAGAGCCAGCCTCAAGCCCAGTCCAGCACCAACCCCTCAGTTCCATCCCAGTCCACTTCACAAGACTCCTCTGGCTACATGCTCACTCCTAATGCACCCTCTCTCTATGGGCACTCGTTAGGGTCCTTTGAGAAGCCTCCACCTTATGCCTGTTGAAGGACTACTTTATTCCTTGGAAACGGATGGCACAAAACATTCCAGTTCTAACGTTTTGGCAGAATGTTAGAAAAGGATTAATAGTTTATCATTAAGGGGTCTAATCTAAGCGTTTTAGCCTTTAATTAATGTAATTATGTACAAGAGAAAATTCTGTAAGTACTTTGACAGTGATGCTGTTTTTGTCGTTTCAGCTCCGCATTCCAGCGTTTTGATTAAAAAGGAAACAAGGATTATATAAATAGATAACTAAATAGGACAAGGTTAAAATACAGCAGGTAATGTTTAATATGAGGATTCTGGCCTGAAACTTGCATGTAATCTTATCTTTTTTGCCCTCTAACGTAGCATTTTGTCGGGGCATTTTGAGGGGGGCCATAGGAGCAAATAATCTTAAATTGCCATATGTAGTACAGGGTTGCAAATCTTTTGCACTTAACAGCTGTTTGAAGTTTGCAACCCACTGACGTCACCAGATGCTGGTTATCTTCCCTGGCGATACTTTGCTGAGAATCTGATGCAGCCATTTTCAGTTTCTGCTTGCATCAGCGGCTTTTTGCCTTCAGTAAGTAAAATGCTGCTTGGTTGGGCAAAACCTTCCACTTTTTGTAGGTGAAGAACTCCAAAACCTCAGTAGTATGTTTTGAGTCACTGTCCTGCTGCAAGGTGAAGGGCCATCAAGTGGGATTTATACCTTTGGTTTGATAATGAACAGCCAAGATGCCTCTGTACACTTTGTCATTAATCTTGCTGCTGCCATCATTAGTCACATCAGCAGATTTGTCGCCACTATACAAACTCACAACATGTTTAATAGATTCTCTATACATTTCCTCTTTCACTCTAATTTGGGTTAATTGTTGTCTCATGTCTTCATAAGATGTTGCACCAGAACCCAGTAGTTGTTTCATTTCTAATGTGCTGGTGTACAGAGACAAAAAACAATAGTCACTGTCCAGGTATTTACAGACTGCACCGTGTTGGAACTCAGATGGGTCCTGGCTGAGTTCAGAGACTGATCTGAACTCTGAAATAGTGACTGATGCTATTTTACAGTCGGTTTTCATTGCTCTGAAAGGGCAGTTATCCCAAACATGATTTTCCTTTTAAAACATTAAGGTATTTGAGGCTATTTACTCCTTAGAATTAACCCTACAACTGTAGTTACAGTTATGGGTACAGTTTACCTCATCTGGCTTCTGTTGCACAGCAGCATTAACATGAAACTGTGTAAGGGTCGATTTGTATCCATTGTTACCACGTTTCTGTACATTAGTCTCAGTTCTGTCTCTTAACCCAATTTTCTTTTAAGGACAGAATCCAGATGAAAAATTTGAAAACTAGCTGGACATTCCCTTCAGTTATATTTTAAATAGATATTAGAACAGGTCACATTATTATTACAACCACCTTTATTTATTTTTTCCCCAAATAGCACAGTCTCCAATTAGATGATAGAGACCAAAGATCTCCCTTAGCGCTGAACACACCAAAGGCCAACATGAGAAAAATACAAAAACAAAGATTTCATATACAGTACAGAAGATGAAAAACAACAGCCTAAACAAAATAAGAAAGAACAAAACTCAAAATCAAAACAAACTGATTGATAATGACTTTGAGCACCTACTTAGCCTTTGGTGACTTAAGGCCTTTTAATCTAGAAGTTAAGGTAGTTGGATGTCTTTCCTTTTGTTTCGTCTAAAAAGCATTGTACAGTCACGTATTTACATATACAATATGTTACAGCGCACTCTCTTTCTCAGTAGCTTGTGTTGCGGCGCAGTGCTTCTCACCTCTCTAATGTAAGTGTACACCTCCCCTGTGTCTCAGTGAGTATAATATAAATATACAAGTTACAGTGTCTATGTGATCGTGTATACATTGCTTACTGTTGGAAGACGGCGTATGTAATGGACCACTGTTGCAGGAGTGGATAATTGTGGCTGTGCAACACCAAATTTGTCAGAGTCAAACTCAAGTTTGAAAGATCAGAGGTGGTTAAACCAAATGGAGTGTATGTAGAGAATGTGGCTTGGTAAGGCCATTTTGTGCCAGTCCTAAAGACCCAGATTAAGCTTACTCTTGAACTAAAATTCACTTTGACTGGACATTCCCCTTTTAAAGGCATTTTGGTTCCAGGGCTAGGCTTAAGCTAGGTCCAGAAAAACTAGCCCTATAAGTTTGCTGTGCGTTCTAGTTTCCCCAGACGATTTTTTTTGTTTCACTGGTGAGGGCCACTAGAGGGCAGGCATGAGAGCGGATATCATTGTGCTTGTGTTGGGCCTCATCCAGGTCTAATAGCTGGCCGTTGACCATGACGTCCATACAGCCTGTATAGAAGGCAGAGACTGGAGTGGACACCAGAGAAACATCTGCAACAGAGAAAAAAGGTGTATGCTGAGCTTCCATTTTACATGACCATACCTTACAATTTCCTTGTGAATATGGCAGTGAAAAATTTGACTGTCTAGATTTGATCACTGATTCAGAGCTTTCTTTCAAACTCTTTTCCACTATAAGCAAAGAAAACAGCAGGCTCACCTGGTATGCCTCCAATAAAGGTGCTGTATGAGGATGACAGGTCCAGGGGCTCCAATCGCTCAACTGGTTCAGTCAGGCCCAGCTGCCCATCCACCTCCAATATGGTGCTGTTCCCAGACACAGTCACATTCACAGTGTGCATCGCAGAGTCACACAGGTCAACTGGAGTGCTGGCCACAATCACATCACCGAAAGACACCAGTATATGCTGGAGTGAGAAGACAATGTTAGATAAAACTCAGTGTTCAACCTGAAATACCATTTCAGTATGAACACTATGGCAGGGGATCCCCTTCACAGTCCTGTGCATATTTTTTGTATTCCCTACTTTACACACCTGACCTAACATATGAGCGGCTTGTTTATTTCTTAATAGTTGAATCAGGTGTGCTAGATGAAATAAAGCATAAAAATGTGCATAGTGTGGGGTCACCAGTCCTATCTCAAAAGAGCTGATTTCATTCCAACCAAGCAGGAAAGTAATCAGTTGTTTACAGACTGAGACCAACTGATTAGACAAGTGAAATCAGGGATACTTTGATAAAAACTTGCAGCTACCCCCGCCCTTGCAGATCAGATTGGTGACCTCTGCCTTAAACACAAATTATGGTCTGTATTGGCTAGTATGCACTGGATAGAGGTACACAGAGGCATCTATAAAAAAGGTCTTGACTGAATTAGTGATGTAAAATATACTGACCTCTGCCCATTCCTTCTTCCCAGAATGGTAGTTAGAAAGAGAGATGGAGAGAGGGACATGATCCTGACGAACAAGTGCAAACAGAACTCCCACTGCAGATGCTGGAAGTATGGTCAACTGTATACTAAGCATCTGTGCGTCACCTGTGTGTGTTGAGGAGAGGTCAGCAACAGTTGTCTAATGCATATCTATAAAACAACTGACAAAGCAGCATTTCATACACACACACACACACACACTGATCAGGCATAACATTATGACCACCTCCTTGTTTCTACACTCATTGTCAATTTTATCAGGTGCACTCTGTAGTTCTACAATTACAGACTGTATTCCATCTATTTCTCTGCATACTTCGTTAGCCCCCTTTTACTCTGTTCTTCAGTGGAGGACTAGAGGATGACCAACACAAACTGTGCAGCAGCAGATGAGCTATCGTCTCTGACTTTACATCTACAAGGTGGACTGACAAGGTAGGAGTGTCTAATAGAGTGGACAATGAGTGGACACAGTGTTTTAAAACTCCAGCGGCACTGCTGTGTCTGATCCACTCAGACCAGCGCAACACACACTAACACACCACCACCACGTCAGTGTTACTGCAGTGCTGAGAATGATCCACCACCCAAATAGTACCTGCTCTGTGTGGGTCCATGGGGGTCCTGACCACTGAAGAATGGGGTAAAAGGGGGCTAACAAAGTATGCAGAGAAACAGATGGACTACAGTCTGTAATTGTAGAACTACAAAGTGCACCTATATAGTAAGTGGAGCTGATAAAATGGACAATGAGCGTAGAACCAAGGAGGTGGTCATAATGTTATGCCTGATTGGTGTATATTACATAGTACGTAGCAACCACTAAACATGGACACGTACCATGGCTGTGGTTGAAGTAGGCGAACCCATGGCCTGGGTAAAATGAGCTGTGGTCCTCAGTGGCATAGCACTGCATACGTTCATTGTTGCGGATGGTCTCCTGGATGGATGTATCTTCACCGGTCAGCCAGTGCCAATCTCGCATACAAGCATCTAGACGTGGGTTTACCTGGAGTCCAACAGACAGAGACAAATAGTCCCAGTCAGATAGAATGCCACGTCATATTAACTTTAATTATTAACTTTTCATCCTAAAGCTGTCAAAAACCTTGCAATGTCTGAAACAACAAGGAGCAGCAATTCAGTCTACTGAAGTCTGTTTCCACTGGAATATTTTTTTTACCACACAAGTTTAGTTACAAAACACAAACATGTTTAACTCAAGGGTGAAACAAACCACTTAAAACATAAAACGGTCTCAGTTTCCTAAAGAAAATATGACGCCTTTGGAAGTATATGCCACTTTAATCACCCCCACAATCGAATGGGAAAGGCTTCTGTAAACTGCACTTTCAACGGCTTAGCAAAGCATATAAACAGTTGTTCACAGCTGTACCGTCTTAATTGCGTTTATATATATGAATATGTACTGGACACAAAATACTGAGCCTCTTTGCTCCATCAGAGCTGTGGTGATGCATCGTTTTTGTTCTAATTAGTCTTGTCTGTCTCTACCTTTTCACTGCCTTCTCCCTATCTGACCAATTCCCCATTTCTGTTTTTGTCAAATCTGTTTGGCCCTCTACTCTATTATTGTATCATCCAGTCCTGATGAGAAATAAAAATAAAAGTTCCAACTTTTAAGCATGTCAGGGAGCTGTGTGTAGAGAACAAACTGTGCTTATCAGAAAGTGAATAAGTAATTACAATAATTTCAGTAGTTGTGGTTGCTTCTTAATAATGCATTTTTGTAAAATATGAAGAAAAACAGAATCCTTCTCTGTTTAGCCACTTTTTTGCATTTAATTTTTTTCTACTCAAATTAAGGATGCAAGTACAGTGTCGGACACTAAGTGGTCAATATCGAGATGCACTCTTTTTTCCCTTGTCTCCAATGTGAAGTTTGGAATCTGAAAGCATCCAAGAGCATGCAATCGGTGGTTCAAATCCTGAGTAAAGCAAAGATTTTATATTCACTTCTTGCACATCTTCACAGTGAAGTTGGGAATCTGAAAGTCAACTGTCAAAAAAAAATAATAATAAAAACGCATACTGGCTGTGAGATCCTGTGGTTTACTGGTATGACCCATGCCTTGGGGGTTATTGTTCAAAGACCATAGAATCCTTAGTATAGAATCTTAGCCATTTTCACCACTGTAAAGAGTGAACCTTGGGCACATCAAAAACAGGCACTAAGTCATCTTTTTCTCAGATGATCCTGGTGTAACGTGCTCCTAAACATGAGCAGAAACAGCCTGGGAATCTGTCCATACTTTAAATTGTTGTATTTTACATTACTGTAGCGTGTATTAAGACACTGCTGATACGATCTACAAGGTTTAACCAAGCTACTCCTATTGAGGGTTTGTAACCACCACAAAAGTCTTAGGCTGACTCTCCACAGTGAAACTAGTTGCGTGTTGTGAGTTTCCTGCAACGTTGACAGTTCCATAAAGCAAATCCAAAAACACTGAAACCTGTACACAACAAATTCAGTTACTCCACCTGATAACCAAATTAGCAGCTTGTAGTTTTCAAGACTAATTCTCACTTTATCGTTCTTGCTATAAATTCATCCACTATGTGTAATTTGTGTGACATTAGGGGGCTTCAAGAGAGAAGAAAACAGATCTAGCTACGTATATCACAATAACAGCAGGCTAGAAGAATATAACACCTTGCACAAGCAGCCGTTCAAACAGCTGTTACCATTAGCTGGATAGTAAATGTTTATATTACATTTATATTACACACGTGGTGTTGGGGTGAACCCGCGGGGAATAAAAATGTGGAGGTGCTGTGTCCCTTCACTCTGTTCTCCTCCTTCATGGCCTACTGTTAGTGTGTGTGTCTGTATGTGTTTGTATATATATATCTGGTGTGTGAGGGTGGACAACATGGACAGGCTGCTGACTTGCTATAGCTCCACCAGACCACTGAGTAACAAAAACACAAACACCACACAAAGGTTAAAAGATTACTGCTTGGCAAAAGAAAAAAACATGGTTACAAAGTTATATTCAATAGTTTGAAAAGTACACTCTTCTGCTGAACAAGCTAGGTAAAGTGGGGTTCTTCAATGAAGAAGCATTCACTTTATAGGGATGTTTACCCAGCAATTAAAAACAATAACTGTCCCAAGTGAACTTCTTAGTTCTAATTCATCTAGCTGCTCAGGACCCAGCTGGAACCAATACAATAATCACGATTAACGGTTTCATGGTCTTTCTGGTCATTTCATGTAACTCTAAAATGTTTAATATGACCACTTGGCTACCTAGCTTGCTAGTTAGCTTACCTTTTTAGCTGACATGAAACGATGCACTGCACCATCACCCCATCAACATCGCATCCTAGTTTACATTCTGGTACACTTACTGGCCAGGTAATATTGCCTGGCAACTACATCTTCATCTGGAAGAGTAAAGGATTTGCTATATTTTTGGCTTCAGCGTCGTGTTACCAAAAGATAGAGGATCCTTCAGCAGGATAGCAGATGGAAAATGGGCAAATGTAAGTAAAATCCTTTACATACTTCGATGCATTGGACATTACAGATTCAAACACAATAAGATTTTACCACTGTTGCTAATGTTTTGTCTGTTATGTTTGAATTTACTGTAAATTGTGCCATCAACTGAGCTGCTTCCATGCTGACTTCCACTCAATTCCACAAGTTCTACCTAGAAGTACAGCCAACCATTATGTTTACAAAAATTCTGATTTAGTCTACTGGCTTGCTTCCTGTATTGGACTTTGCAAAACATCTAGCAGTCACATGATAGTTGGATCCAAGAGGGAGAAGGGTGAGACAGATCCCAGTGCTGAACTTCATCATTCATATTTGTGGGGCTCCTCTACATTACAGTAAAGCCTACTTTCCTTTCTGTGGGCTTACTAGTACATCTAATTGTGTGCATGACTAATGGCCACCCAACTGTCTCAGCTTAGTAAGCAGATTCTAAGCACAGGCTAGCAAAAATGGGACTGCACTCTGAACAGTCTGTTCAAGAAGGGAAATGGCTTTGTTTACTATGAAATAAGTGTAGACATAATCTCTAAAAAGAAAAATCTCTGACAGTCTTGCACAAGTTACCCAACTCTTTGAAGTTAAAGAGCAAGCCATTTCTACCATGAAAAACACCTTGTTAACTCCACTCCTTCACATTCTGTTTTTTTCCTCTAAATTTGAACAGTGTAAATCACTAAGCATGAATGCACACTGATGCCTCACGTATTGTCCATCTGGAAGGACAAGCAGGATAATCTATACCTGGCCTTTGCTATCAGAATGTGTTTTGTTTTGCAGTAGTACAATCTCTACAAAGCTGAAGTGAAAATGATATTCCACAGAAAATGTTATCTCCCCTCCCAAATATAGTGTTAAAGTGTATAAAAACTTACTTGATAGGAAGTCAGTAGCTTGAACACTGGAAAAAAAATGTTTTTTTTGATATCCTAAAATCTAAAAGCAGCGAGAAGTTACCCTCAAAAAGTGTACAAATTACAGCCTATAATGCTTCGTTTTATTATTTGTTTCTTTTCTATTACTAAAAGATTTTAAGTATAAAATTCCATCAGTGTGAAATACATTTGTATATATGTGTAAATGTGCAGATGTATCTGTTCAGGTCTATGATAAGCTTATGTACCAAACAACACTGTTGATCTTCTGTTTGTTTTTTTTCTCTCCCTTTTTGAGTTATATATGTCCTCCCTCTATATAAGACAGCATTATCGATTTGTGAATGATGTGCTATAACTAACAATGTTTAAATAGTAGAGGGGGAGTGGTGGTGGGCCAAAAAAAGGGGGGTGGGGAAGAATGAGTAATGTGACAATTATTTTGCTTACATTTACAACTAGGTTCTTACCTTATTAACCAGTCCGTCCTCTTTGAATGGAACCCCGCCCACAGTTAGGTTGAGCTCGTGCATGCCTTTCTTCAGCGTAAATAGATCTCCATTCACTGCAATCTTCATCACTGCCTCCCTGTCAATTTTTATCACCAGACTTCGCCCTTGCTCCTCTACTGATATCTAGCAGTGAGTTAAACAAAGGTAAGCCATGTTAGAGAGGCACCTAATATGAGAGGGAAGATTTCAAAAGTGCTTAATGCAGCTGTTATTTTTCCACATAAATAATATGCCATTTATTTGGGGTTAAAATTCACTGAAAAAACAGCTTTTATCAACTCCATTCTCTAGCATGCATAAATACACCACTAATGCTATACTGCTGACGTTTCAATTTCCAATATTTCATATTTCTCATTCATAAAAATCGTTTGCTCAAATAAGACCAAATGACCCCTCAGTATCCTTTCACCTTGTGCCACAGTCCATCGTTAACCAATGGGCCACTGCTAGTCACCCGGCTCACAGCTCCATATTTTAACTGCAGTTCCAGTTTTCCATGGTGGATTGCCAGCACGATCCAGGAACTGTTCAAGTGTCCACCAGCAAAGAAGATCACTCCCTCCGAGTCATAGGTTCTCAGGTCAAACTCTGCTGTGAAGCTGAATGGGAACAGGACGTCAGTACTAAATGAAAAGAAGTAAGGAATTTTTGCAAAACTTTGCAAAATCTTTCAAGCATCAGAGCTCATGTTCATGTTGTCATCTAACAGAGAGTTTGCTCACCCGGTGTGAACTCGGCGGCGGAAGCGTAGTTTTACCACAGGAATCCCACTGAACATGCGGCCCAGGTAAAGAGAACGAGAGTTCCTTTTCATGTCCAGTGCCAAACAAGGCTTAATGGGCTACAGAGAATATGTGTGAGAAAAATTATATAAAGCAAAAAAAAGTACTAGACAATGCAGACAAAATAGTAGTATACTAGACAAGTGGGAAAGAGGAGAGACAGATATTGCAACTATAAATAATGCATCATCACTATTTTAAACAATAATTTTACACAATTTTATGCTTATGTAAAATGTAGTCAACAAGCCATGTTCAGCGACCAAAGTTTTCTTCTTTAGTTTTGCACTGGAGCTACATGAATAATATAGTTGACAAGTAGCAGAAACTCATACTACAGCAGTTAAGAGACTAATAATATATCATGTCATAGGCAAACTTATTTGAGATTACTTAAAGGGCCCATATAATAGAAAGCTTTGTTTGAAGTAGTACATAAACACTGCTAAACATCCCCAGTCATACAGTCTATAAATGGAAGCTGTAAAAACACCTATTTTGAATTCATTGTTTCTGCGGCATCACAAAACCTACAAATTTACATATATCCATCTATTTAGCCTACTGCAGTTTAGACCATTCAGACTGAAGTTATAAGGAGTTATAAGGAGTCCAGGTTTCAGCCTGGACTGCCTTTTTTAAATGAAATATAATACAGGGAAGCAAATCTGAACACAGCCTCACATACATATAATCAATCTAAAAGGCACCGTAACAAAAAAACAGCTTGTTTAATTGCTAAGGATAAAGCGAGGTTGGAAAATGGTTGAGTAAAAAAAAATAAAAATTACAGCTATTTTTGGTGCAATAAACCCATGCTAACATCACAAGTGGTAGGATATAGGTACTTTAACAACTCTGTGACCTGAGGAAAGTGTGATAATTTAGGCTTATTGTTTGTGAGATGCTAATTGGTGGGTATAAGCATCTATTATTTACTTTAATAAATAAGCCTCCAGTGAAAAACTAAAGAAGTAAACTTCAGACACCTAACATATCTTGGCTGACTGACCAAAACTGGAGTAAGGAGAAAATGAGTAATTTAGTCGCCAAACCACTGTTTTAACAGGACAAGGCACCACTGTTCTACAGCGAGTTTTATACAGCTATTATGCTAAGTATGAGTAAATGTACACAGCAGTAAACGAGGTCTGTCATAAGTATGATGATGAATCAATTCCTTTCACTACCTCACAGCTCCTCAAGTCTTGTCCAAGCTTTTTGCCCTGTCTGCCATCGCAAAAGCAACGGTAACTCCCAGGCGTGTTGACACACTCCTCCTCACACACATGTGACTCACACTCGTCCACATCTACCATGTAGAAAGTAAGACAAAAGAATTCATTACTCTTTCGAGACAACAATGACAATGATACTTGTGTACAAGCCAAAAATATAGTTTTAAAAACTGGTGCTGTTTCTCTTAAACACTCATAAATGGTCATACCTGGCATTTCCATTTTAAGTAATCCTTTCCATTCTTAGCTCATTGACTACAAATGCTGTAACACTACATAAGAACATGCAAGAACGTGAAAATCGTATGACGGATCATATTTTGTCTCTTAGCTCTCTGTTCACCAACAAGGAGAAATGTGAACTTCTCAACCTTTAACACTTTAACCCCTCTAAGATTATTATTCAGTTGTAGGTCTTAATCTTATTATCCAGTACCTACTATAAACTATTCAGGTGCCAAGAGGAAATATGTGAAGTATGTAGCTACGAAAATTAAAAATGAAAAGTTTGGACTGACTGTCCTCAGAGTTCAAGGGTTTAAACTGATGTTTAGGGCTGGAACAGAAAACAAAAACACAGCAATCATACAATGCTCCTGGTATGTAATTTTGGTTTCACCAGGCTCTTGCTCATAGAACTTTTGCTTTTAAAAGCTATGAGAAATGGGTTTATATTTGTCTTGTATAAATATGAATTTCTTGCCTAGAGATCAATGTTTATTTTTCTGTGATGGGACAACCAACCACAATCTTGGCCGACAAATAAAGTCTCAGGTCTACAGTCCTTCATCACACATTTTAGGCTTATCTAACTCAAAAAAATGGCAGATAGTGATCTTGGCATTTTGTTATGGTTTCAACTGATACTCTGCAAATGTTTTGACTGAAAGAAAAGAAGGAAAAAAAATGTTTTAATAAAAGAGAATGCTGGGAACAGACAAGGATAAATGATTATGTGGTTTATCTTAAAACACATATGTGAAAAAAACTGTTTATTACATTATACATAGCTTAGTCAGCTTGAATGACTATGTTCTGTGATTATTATGTAATCCACCCTTTCTACAGGCATGATTTAACTTGATAATGGGAAGGGAACATGTTCAAAGACAAAAAGTTGGAAATGGGGCAACATGGCCTGTAGCAAACTCATGTCTGTGTCTCCAAAGAAAAAAAAACATTTTTCACAGCCACTTAGCCACTCTTGTAGATACTGCCCATGTTTTATTTACCATAGGGTTGAAAGACTGATTAGTGGATATAATATGTTCTTTTAGACCTGTGCCAGGAAGAAGTGGCTTCTAATGCCTACAAAACACATACAGGCTTTTCCGCTTGGAGGCTAATCAAGGCTTATCACATTGCATTCTCTGGAAGCTGGTGAAAGAGTCTGATACGTCTGGTATCTTATATAATGTATAAGAGTTTTTGCTGGTCATAATGTGTGGAATTTGAGGCCTGTGCATGTAAGTAGCTATTGTGTGCCTGTTAAGACATGTATTAGTCGTGGATTTCCTCCATCCAGCATATTCTTTTACATTTTTAGGAATGTGTCAACACATATGCCTGCGCAATTCTGAAGGCTCTAAACCCTTTCACGCTTCATACTTAGTGGTTACAAAGGGGATGAATAAGTATGGTGGCACTGACTCACCTTCACAGGTTTTGGTCCCATTGTTGTAGATGTAGCCAACCTCACAAAGGCACTCGTAACTCCCTATCAAGTTCTTGCACTGTGCATTCCCACAAACATTAGGAACCACCCTACACTCATCAATGTCTGGAACAGAGGTATGGGAGATTGGTGTCATGATGATCTGATGAATAACTGATGAATAACTAGGAAATGACTTAATAAGGTAACGTATAACTCAATCTGACTCTATGACTCATTTATAATTTGACTTTCTCACACTTATTAAACCTGCACCGGATTTGTCCCAAGTACAGTATTACAGGCTTGTTTCAAATCAAACTTCCACATCACACCTGCTGGTGATACATTCAGCGACTTTGTGAAGTCTCTATTAAATGTACTTTTTTGCCCAAAAAAGTAGTATGTGATGCAAATAAAAATCTACAAATTACTGGCTTTTGCATCACATTCTTTACACATCAAATAATGCAACAACATGGAGATCTCATATTATTAGTGGAGAAGAATAGATTAAACAGCTGAAACAGCCACTTCTGTGTGTTAACCTTAAAAGTTAAAATGCAAAATCTAAGAAAGAACTTGAATTTGTGGTGAAAAGTATTTAGGAACATTTTACGTGGATACAAAAATGCCCAAATAAATATATTAAAACAAAAACCTTGTATAGGAGGATTAGGATGAGCACAATGTGTACAATAAAATGAAACTGAAAAATGTTTAAATGCAACTTTTCCAACATTTTTGGCATATGTAGTGCAATAGACCATAGATAAAAGAGTGAACAAGGTAACCAGCAAATCGGAGCAAATTTCACTTACCCAGACACATGTGGTGGCCAGACAGTGAGTAACCATCACGACAGGAGCAATGGTAACTTCCTACTGAGTTAATGCACTCATGATCACATCTTCCATTTTCCTTATTGCACTCATTTACATCTGTCAATCAGAGAACATAAATCAAAGTGAGCCAGATGCCAGACTGTGGTGAAAGTTTACCTGAGGAAATCAAAATCAAATGACACACTGGTTAGATGAGGCTGCATCTATATGACAGGCTTTAAGTAGACGCAGCAACACTGTAGCTTAGGGGCACCCTACAACAGTTGCAGACTGTTTCACATTTTCCCTTTCTCAACTAAGCATATATAGGAAAAAAATATCTAAGGCGGTATTAATGAAACATTTGAGACTTGAATTAGTCTACAGAGAATGACGTGATGCTGGGGCTCAACTGTGGAAAAGCCTCTCTGCCTCAGACTTTTTTCCACCCTGCTCCTGTTTTCATCTGCTTGTCATTCCATACTGGTAGGTGATGCAATGAGTCACAGTGCATGTGTGCGAAAGCACTGCAGTGGAACAAAGTCAGGTCGTCATCTCTCTCTGTCTGGAAGATACTCATCCTTCTGCAGAATTTCCTCTCTTCAGCTGACTCAGAGTAACTGCTGCAGTACCACTGGTAGCTGTGAACATGATAAATGAACATGCAGACCCTCTACAGACATTTAATGCACTATTGGTTACAGCCCAGACTACAAATATGAATAAGTTTATTGTCAGTCAGAGAGGTCACACCTGACAGAGGACAAAGCAAAGGTACACAGTCACGCGAGAAAAGGTAAAAGTATCCCTTAGTCACCCTCCCTATCCATATTATACCTATTAATATTAAATCACTAAAAATTTACTCAATGACACATTAACATTTTAACAGGCCACAGGCCCATTGTTTTATTATACACTTCTATAACCTAAGAATAGCTCAACCAGTTAGTATTGAAGTCCCTGTAGTTACTAAATAATAAGCTTCTCTATGCAATAAGCCTGTCAAGGGGTTAGAGATTTGGAAAAAATCCCACAATTTCCCCCTTACCCAAAAAATGGTGCCCAAACTGTCTCTTCAGTTTTGCACCACAGCTACAAGGCAGCTAAATAGTAATAAAAGCTTGTATTCCATGCCTACAACTGTGTGTCTAAATCATCACACAAGACTTGCTTATGTGGTTTCTAACCCTGCATGACATATTTGTCAATTTCTTACATAACAGTACATCCCATAGCTTAAAACAGTACTGGATTCCTCAAATTGTACCCCTTTGTCCATTTCTACTGATATTTTGTCAGAAACTACATAAGGAAATCTTTTTATGATTACTTAACAACCCCAAGACCAGTATGTGATGATCTGGGTATGCAGTTTGCACAGTGCCAATCAGTGGGGTATAAGCTTCCATTACTTGTTTGCTACATTGCCCCGTAGCTCCAGTACAAAGCTAAAGAAGCAAACACACGATACCTCATGTGTCTTGACTGTTCGTCTACATTATGTATATTTTATTTAATCGTGTAAATTGGATAAGGAGTAAGCTACAATTAGTCATGTTAACTGGCAGTGTTAGCCTGAACAATTCTTTTCTGTTGTCTCACTGCATGTATACGGCATTGCAGAGCAAGAAGTTCAGACAAGACTTGCCTATTGGCACTATCAGACTAGACATCTACTGTCTATCATCTGACTGTATGTGTATTGTATATGGAGCATTCTACCGGACTGCTCCAAAATCAGAGTTGAAAACACATTTCAGACTTTCAACTGACTTGGACCATAATTTTTTTTTATTTTATTGACACAAATGACAGAACATTCCATTTTGTCACTACCAAAACAATTATGACGCCACCAGAACCAGCAGTGACAATTCTAGCTAATTTAGAACAAAACCAGAAAACACTAGCCAAATACATGGCAACCAAACAAAGCTCTGAACAGTTGTACACACATAAAATCAATATTTTTCATTAAAACACAAGAAGTTTATGTAATTTCAGAAAATATGTGTTTGGAGTGACAATTCTTATAAATTGATTTTCAGTCTGGGACAGATTTACTTCAAAACAGTGGGATCTATCTGCTCAGATCTATCTATAAAGGACAGGGATACAGTCTCACTTCCTGCTTTAAAATGCAGGGGTGTAGCTACATTAAGCCTCCGCCTATAGACTAAAACTCTGTTTTTGTAGCCAAATTCACTTTTAAAAAAATCAAAAAGATCTTTTAAAAAAAAAATGTAAGTATTATGTTCAGAAGTTGAAATTTAGGGGTTAAGGTTTGGAACAGCCACCTCCCAATAGAAAGTATCCTATACAAGATGATTTTGTATATATTTAGCTTATTACTACCTCAATTAATCCCTTAGGTTTAAATGGATCAGAATAGAATCCTTGTAAATACCTAAGGTGTGACTACAAGTATTTTAAACAGTTTTTTTACAGAGGGACCACAGTTTGAACTAGAATGGTCCATTTACTTACAGATGAGGTCTCACAAGCCCTACCTTGCTCACACTTGAGACCAGCCCACCCTGTAAAGCAGTGACATTGGAAGTCGCCCTTTTTATCCTCACAGCGTACTGTCCCCTTGTGATTACAGGGGTCGGGGGAGCACTGGTTTGGAATGTCTGAGAAAACAGAAAGAGTGAGAGTAACAGAGAGTGAGGGGAGATAGAGAGAGAAGGTGGCTAAGGGTGAAAGGTTCAATTATTCAAGGTCAAAACAATAAATTACAAACCTAACATGCATCAAATCTATTGCGCTGCACTGTCCCTCCTTTCACTCTCAGCAGTTACCCAACAGCCACATATCCTACCTACCACCTAGAATTCCAATGAACATTTGTTCTTCACAGCTGGATCTTACTTTACACAGTGTTTGAAGGCTGCTCTGTTTCATCACTTGGTTTCCTTTCGCACATATCTGTAGAGTCTCCAAGATGCTGCTGACACTGCAACATCTCCCTACTTAGACAAGTCCAGGCAAGTCTGGGCAGACTGAGGGGGCACACAAGTAAAACGAGAAAGGAAGAAATAGGGAGAGGGAGAGGGAGAGGAAGAGAGAGAGAGAGAGAGAGAACACTGCAGAGTCACAGCATCCTCTCACGCTTACTGACTCAGGGTTCCTGGCTGGACTCAAACCGACCAATAAGATCACGGCATTCTGAGCTAGCACGTTGCTGCCTCTGATTCAGCGGAAACGCATGCTGAAGGACGAGCCTCCAGCTCACGTCAGCGATACGAGCTTAGGTCACGTGCTTGCAGGCACACACGCGGCACAGAAACGACCACATTCATTCAGAGGGTCTTCTGTGCACACGCCCCCCTCAAATCCGCTACCAAGCTGATAGGCTACAACCTTCTGTACATCACCAGCAGCACAACTAACACAGGCAGCCTCTCTTTCTCTCTCTCCTCATGCAATTTTCCCACTCCAGAGCATTGCTGCAGTGCAGCTGAAGCAGCAGAACCCTGCACTCCCATAGAGCTATTTATATACCAGAGAGAAAGAGAGAGATGGACAGACAGAGGGCAGAAATAAGAAACCCAAGCTGGGGTCACTCACTGTGGACACAGGTGACCAGGTCTCCCTTCTTTTTTTCGCCGAACTGCTCCACACATGCTGAAGAGACAAGAGGAGAGTCCTTCATCAGAAGCAGTCATAATAAGGTATATTAACACACACTGTATTCTGTATTCAAGTCCACTAAGCTGGGAGAAGCTAACATGCAGCTAAAATTAAGAGTTACTATTTCAGGACTTACCCAAATACCTGGGATAGAAATATTCCTGAAAAAGGTACCAAACAGAAATGGTTAGCTATGATGACAGCTACAAATCAAGGCAGCTACATGTATAACTATATTTTAACTATAAATATTACTTCTTTAAACTGCAAAGGTGAGGCCTGCACTTCCTCACTCTCACAAATATATAGCTTATATGTTAGTTTCATAATAGTTACCAAACAATTCACAGCAGTTACTGAACAATAAGCACTAAAATTAGCAGCTGAAAATAGTCTGCAGTTTAATCTGTTAAGTACTCAGCCTATATTCTGCATCAGAAAAATTTAAAAGTTTCAAAAACTGCACTTTTTGAAAACACCCACAACATTCAATGTTAGTTCTTGAATGCTACTGAAGCTTTGACAGACATCGTGTAATTATTCTGTCGTGCTTGTCTTTAATCTTGCTGTCCTGTTACAACATGTTAGGCCTAAGAATCTTTTTTTATCCTCTAGCTTAGGAAACCAGTTTACAACGTCTCTGTGACAGTCTGTGCACTCATCGTCCCACACAACCTGCATACTCAGTGCTGCAGTGCTGTGGGGTGTGGCCAAGCTACACAGTTGACCTGGTTCTTTCTTGGGCTCTTTCTGTGGGTTTCCAGATTAACTTTTATCATCACAAAAGTTATAAATGAACCCTGCATCAACTATGTGCCCCAGAAAAAAGGGATAATACTTTGCCATGTAAAGGAAAGTTTCTACAACATTTTCCTTAGCACTTCAAGCACTGCACTCATGGATTAGTTGAATCAATGGCATTTTCTCTGCAAGCAGACACCTAATACCCATAGACGTATCCTCTTCATACACTGTGCATTAGCTTTAGCCATTAATCACACCTATATTTAACCCCTAAACCTATATTTCCCTTCCTCATTCCTATAACTAGACACATTACATATTAATTTTACTGTAGTTACTGAATAATTCATGGCATTTACTGAATACCAAGCTTTAAGATTAATAACTGAATAATAAACCTGTAGTTTAAGGCTGAGAAGATCACATTTTATCCACCAATATGCAGCCAAGAGGGGAAAACTATGTATTACACACTTTTACAATATTATACATTCTTAAATCTTCTTCTAACGTTTATAATCAAACAGCTAAGAACAGAATATAAATGGTTAGGAGTCAAAGAAGCATCCACTACAAGGACACATCATTCTGTGCACGCTTTGTCCACGGAGCAGCTGTGGGTTACCCGGTAACCAGTCCACTCATATGGTTGCTGCAGTCCAAAAAACTGCAGAGTCAGAGTTCTGCTGAGTCAGATACAGATAGCACGCGGTGCAACATGAATAATGCACACAGGGAGCAGAACTCCTTCCCTTCCCTCCCTGTCACGAAGTCAATGAGGGAGAAGCACGCAAAGCTATTGATCGTTACGCATATACAGAGATAGTCCCCACTTTCTGCCTCACCTTAACTCACCTCATGCATCACCTCGCGCAACCTTTCCTCTTAATTTCATTTTTAGTCCCTCATCTTGCAGTTTTAATTCCACATCATCATGTTCTTTCACTTTCACCTGTGTCCTTCTACTCCTCATTCTCATTTAGTTCCTAGAGGGGACTGATGACGCAAAAGCCTCAAAACTCTGTCCGAATCATTATAAGTGTTCCAATTATAGCGCCAGTCATCTCATGGGATGGACCAAAAGCAGATACATCACTCACTGTTCCAAGTACACTAAGCTTTTATTAATTCATGGCACAAACTTGTCTGAGCTGCTTTAACAGATACAGTAAATTCACATGATCTCCCGCCAGTCTAAACACTGGGTATACTGCTGTTCACGTGGGTGGGAGAAAACATCACGTCAGATATAAGTAGTACAGGAAACCCGGCAGGAATTTATTTGGGATTTAAAAACACATTCCAATCCTTTGAGTCATCACTGCTTCACCCTTTATTGTACGTAGTCCCCGAAGAACCTATCAGCAGTGCTCTGGGACTATTTCATTTGTATAATCATCCTTACTTTTTACAGGGAACAGGCTATTCACAATGAACAGTGTTGTGTTATTAATGGGCTACTAAAATAAATCATACCCTGTGTCTTAAAGGACTCCCTGCAGGATGATATGCAAAACGTTGGAATAAAATCTGCAAACACTGTTCCTGAATTACATGTATATGACAATAAGAGTTGGCCAGACATTCAGTGGTTGGCACTAAATGGATGAAATGGATCGGTGGAAGTTAGGGATGGGCAACATCGTAATACTAATCGCTATCGTGATACATCACATCATTGCACAATACACTTTTCAGAACATGTCATAGGTCTCATCAGTCCTCAAAGAACAACGAACAACTGCATGCTGCATTACAAAGAGAGCCTAACTGGTCATGTTTACATGGATTTAGTGCAGTGCAGGATGTGAAACACTGAACACAAATCATTGTATTTATAGTTTTAATGGTATTTCTGTTCCATGTCATCAAACTGCATACAAATTAAATGTAGTGATGCATCTTGTGCATCAAGAAAATGTCTAGAAATACTGTGATATTATAATTCTGCCAGATTGCCCACCTCTAATGCAAGTGCATAATGGCTTCTTGAGCAGGACATTGTGAAGCAGTGATTCAGAAAGAGCTTTATCAAGACCATTAAGCTTCAAATGGGCTCAAAGGAGATTCAAATATGTCAATAGGCACCAGGCAAGTGGACCCACTTCAGCCAGAAGCTGCAGTGCCAAACCTGCCACTGCCCTCAGGCTCAAGCGTCCGAGCATGAAAAACATGAGCGATAAGCCCCTCAGACTTTCGGGAACTTATGTCACTCACTCAGCTACAAAAACAATACAATCCGTGAGAAACGCGTGTGAGTGTGTTTGTGCAGGGGGAGTCAGGGGCTTATTATAAAGTGGCTCGACTGCGAACTTACTAGGGCATGAAAATGAGGCACAGAATCGTCCGAAGTCTCTGAAAGCGTCCAGTTTTGGGGCGAAAGGTCGTCGACTGTCACCACAACGTGTTATTATCGAGCAAATCTCAGCAGCGCAGCTCGACAGGCTAACGTTAGCGTTAACGTTACCTCCGCTCTGCGGTAACCAACGTACAGCACCGCTAAGGACGCTAAACCTGCAGGACTCAGCGCTACGGACATTTAAAAAAACAGTTAAAACGTTGACGTTTTTACCGTTTCTGGGTCATTTTCAAACACTTCTCGTGCCTCTTCTTTGGTACATTTCTCCTCCACACATTCCCTCTCCAAATGCCCTTGTTTGGTTTCCTCAAAAACCTGGTTCGCTCTCTTGTGTCTTCTCAAAAACTGGCTCGCTTCCTCAGGCGACAAGGACACTGCGAACACACACACACACAGTTTGGTCCAGGTGAAGCACAACGTCAAAGCCGTTAAAACAGACCGAAATGAAACATTTAACGTTAGCGGACACCGGCCAACCTTTACGTGTAGCGCTAGGTTAACGGACGCCAGCTAACCGTCGGGACTGTTCAAAACAAAACGTCTCGCGCTAACGTTAACGGACACCAGCAGTTAACGTTAACGGTTGACGGCTACACGAGGAAGCTGCTGCTTAGGTGCGCGTGCAGAAGTTTTCGGTTTTCGGTTAGCTAGGTTAGTTAACCGTTTCACCTCGGCTGCGTCCAAAACCGCGTACTGTCACACTAAAGACTATGTCAAATAGTACACCGCCAACAGCAAGCTAGTGCAGTGAGTATGGTAAACAATACTAGTAGGTTATGTGGTTTTGGACGCAGCCACAGTTAGTTTAGTTGGCTCTGCAGGTTCTGCGACAACAACGACTGTGTTTTCTCTCGACAGAAAAGTCCCTCAGTTCGTACTGTTTGTGTACTTACACTCCGTGGAGCAGGCGACGCACAGGAGGATGAAGAAGCAGCCCGAGAGGAACTCTCCCGGGGTAAGGAGCATGTTTGGTTCTGCGACAGGCTCGGGAAAACTTCCCCCCTCCGTCCGTCTCTGTGCAAATGTAGCTGGGAAAGCTTTCACTTCTCAGCGGGGGAGTCTATACCGCTACATTCAACTCCACGGTTTGCAGAGGCAGACACATACCACAGCTCCCTCTCCCTCTCTCTCTTTCCTCCACTCACTCGCGCTCTCTCTCTCTTCCACACACACTCCCCCTCTCTCTCTCTCCGTGATCTAAACGTGAGCAGCAGATTCGTCGATTTGGCTGCTGGAAAGTTAGCAAGCACTGGGAGTTCCCAATGCAGAATTTTCTCCTCCGCAAGAAAGAAAGAGGGAGAGAGAGAGAGAGGGGGGAGGGAGAGAGGGAGAATGACGCTGGTTACTCACTGCAGTAGTATCGCTGTAATAAAAAGGCTGCAAGTTATGATGACCCACCCCTGCATTTCTGTAGGGTGTTAATCAGTCTCTGTGCCTAATCAGCATAGAGACTAATTAACACCCATAGAAATGCAGGGTCTATGTTGATTGGACAGAAGTTCACAAGGGTCACACATTTAACAGGCACCTGTATAACACATTAAAGATCATTTTATACTGTGGACACTTAAAAAAGATGGTTCTTCAAGGGTCCTTTAGTGGAAGCAAGGGGTCTATTTAGAATCATGAGTTCTACTTAGACCCATTTCATGCTTTATTGGTTCTTTGCACGGTGAAATGGTTCTTCGGATTGATGATGTGTTGTGTGTGTCTATATAGAACCCTATTGAAAATGGCTTTGTGTAGCACCAAAATGGTTCTTCTATTGTTACAAGGTTGACATAACATGAGCATAACCCTTTTTGGTGCTATATAGTACCCTTTTCAAAAGGTTTCTATATAGAATCGTATACAGCACATTCTCTATCAATCCAAATAACTATTTTACCATGCGAAGAACTCTTTAAGCATGCAGATGGTTCTTTGAGTGTTAAGGGTTCTACATAGAAGCACTGCCTTTACCAAAGAACCGAAGAAGAAACATCTTTTTTTTAAAGTGTACCTTTAGCAAACATTACCATGTGACGTACTCTGACAGGACAATTACTTGTAATGGCAGCATGACAGTGTTGTATGAACAAACAAAATCTGTCATAACTCATTATTAACATATGACATCTGCCATAACATGTTTATGGCATGGTTATGCCAATGTTAAGTGTTACCTTCATATTAATATAATCTCAATGTTTTGTTTTTTTGTGATTTATTCATTTAGTCAGCTTCAAATCTGATGATGTTGAAACAGAACAGCTGTCCCCATTTACCCAGATACTGTTCATTATCTTTGTTTCATCTGCTCGAGTCCTCCCCTCGACTCCTCCATGTTTTTCTAGGGGAGGAGAGAAGAAGTAGCAGAAGTTTCCAAATGCAGCCACTTGCGTTAGCATGGGCAGGGCCACTGCTGTAGGGTGAATAGGTGGATATATGAAAATGTGTCTTTACAAAATCAGTAAATTCAAAATGGCTGTTTTTTTCAACATTTTCCATATTTTCTTGTTTTTTTGCCTGTACTCTTCTGGGACAGCTTTATGCTACATTTTGGTTCATGGCTGTGGGGATTCACTTTTATTCACTGGCAAAGGCATTAGTGAGGTTGGGCAGTTTTATCCAAGTGCTGGATGGGGTCGAGGTCAGAGCTCAGTGAAGGCCAGTGAAGTTCTTCCACACTAAACTGGGTAAATCATTTCTTTGCTGACCTTGCTTTGTGCATGCTGAATTATGCTGAAACAGAAAGGGAAGCACACAATTCTCTAGAACATAATACTGCAGTTTTCTTTCCACTGGAAAAAAGGGGCCTTGGTTAAAAATAGCCCTACTCCGTCCTCCTCCACCACTCAACTCTACTGTTGAAACAATGCTTTTAGGAAAGCAATGTTCTCTTGACATCCATCAGACCACAAGATGGTGAAACTTGATAAATCACTCCAGAGTAAGTCTGTCCACTGCTCCAGAGTTCAGTGGCAGTGTGCTTTACACCACTCCAGCCGACGTTTGGCATTGCGCATGGTGATCTCAGATTTGTACGCAGCTGCTCATTCATGTGATCCATGAAGCTTGTGACAGGCAGTTCTTGTGCTTCCAGAGGCTGTGTGGAACTTGGTAGCAAGGGTTGCCTCCAAGGAAAGACGATTTTTATGTGCTCCATGCTTCCGTGCTCAGCGGAGCTAATCTGTGAGCTGCTAGATGTTTCTGTTTTACAGTAACAACACGTACAGTTGACCGGAGCATAAATCTGACTTCTGACTTCTTGTAAAGGTGGCATACTATGACAGTATTGTGCTGACACACTGATCCATCCTACTGCCAATGTCTGTTTGTAGCTGTTAGGTTAATTTTATGTTCCTGTTAGCAATGGGTGCCACTGAAATAGGGGTGTCCACATACCAGGCATACATGTAGTGTAAATTAAGGAAACATAAGGAAGAAGACACATAGTGAGACAGGTAGGCTGCTACATTCTGTTGTATACTCACTGGTCACTTTATAAGAAACTCAGTGATTAGAAAATAAACACTCTTGAGGAGCTAGAAGATGGCTAACACAAATTGCATATCAACAGATGGCCTACAGTCAACTGTACACCAGTAAGGTGGAGCTACAAGACTTTCTACTTTAAACATTGAGCTCCAGTTAGCTGTCTGGCTGCTTTCTGCATTAGCCAGCTAGCAGGGGAAAAACAGCTTTCCTCACTGAAGTGCTTGTGGATTTTCAATAGTACCTTTCACCTTCAAGATACATCATCAGAAGGGGGTGTTCCTACTCTTAACCAGAAAATGTTACTCTTGAGACTACTGTGTCACCGTTCTAGGAAGCGAGTGATAACAGCGGATATTGCAATGATTAAAATGTTCATTTTGGCCAGAATACCCCTTTAATGCTAAAAAAAAAACATTTCTGAAACACATTGCATTCTTTCATTTGTTCCATCTCTAGTTTTTCTCGCATGCCACTTTTTTCAGTTTTCCAAAATATGACATTGTTAAACCCACTTCCTTGCAGCTGTTTCCAAAATATGTTTTTCCCTCAGCTCTTGACACATTCCTTCCCCACCACCACCCCTTTTATCTGAACTAGGCTAGATTAGATATGTATGTGGTCAAAACATTAAGAAAATATTATACAGAACTGTGGCTAAAATGAGAATATTTTTATGACATGACATGCATAAGTTGGATTTTTGTCATTTTTATTACAATACTCAGTACACTCTCCACCCTGAAATCAACCTCAAAATATCAACACAGAGTAAAAACTGTTTTACACAGTATCTTAAACTTATCTGTTCCATTACTGGAAAACCAAGAGAAAACCCAAAGTCAAAGTTCTCTCATTAATGAATATGTTTAGGAGAAAAAACAAACAAACAGATTGTTCATCTCATCTTAAAACAGGACACAGATCTTCATACTCACAAGAAAAAGGATCAATCTATCAGATCTTACTAAATAATATCTTAAATTGGATCCATCCTAACCTCTACATCTGATTTGAATACATATTCTAAACCAGTCAGAGCTCAGCTCTGTATTGCATTATATGTTATTTCCTTAAAACAGAGGAAATATATAAAAGGCAATGCCCTCTCTTGAGCAACAGGGTTGGCCATTAACCCCTTAAACTGCAGGCTTATTATTGAGATATTATGCTTAATACTTATTTCACAATTACTATAAATTATTTGTTAAATACTATAACACTAATATGTCAGTGTCATGCCTAGTATGCAAGTACATACAGGCCCTTGCAGTTTAAGGAGTTATTATTCACAGGATAGTCAATAATGGTACTTTAAGGTTTACTGTAGTTGTATGGAAATCCAGACAACAGATCGCCTTAGTTTCTCTCTTCTGCTTCTTCTTCCTCTCTTACCATCTTCTTACAAGTATTTACAACAGGACAGACAGCAATAGTGATGGATTCCCAATGCCCCAGCCTATGACATCATTTCCTAGTTACTTCAGGTTGAGACACAGGCGGACAGGAGTGAGACTTGATGCTGTTGTGTTTGCTGACAGCTTCATCAAAGTCAAGCAGCCGCTCATTTAAATGGATCTCCATGCAGCCGTGGTAGTAGGCTGAGACTGGAGTGGAGGACAGAGGAAGATCTAGACAGAGAGAGAAGAAATAAGAGAGAAATGAAGGAACACTGTAATGACGGCGCAGTGATTTATAATCTTCACAACAGCGCACTTCTTTTGCTTCATTGTTCAATAAAATGAGTTGTTAAAGGCCCAGTGAGTGACATTCCAAAGATCAATGGATATTTCTAAAACATATGGCTGTGTGTGTGTAGGCTCATAGCAGAAGATGGCTTTCTCTTCTTCTCTTCTTTCTTTTTGAAGAGATACTGCAGTTTCTTCCTATTTAGATGTTTCTACTGTAGGCCAGTTCTTTGGTTAGGCTGGCTTTCCATGGTGAAACTTTTACACAGCTTGTTGCAGAATGACAATTGTGTAATTATATATATATATATACACACACACACACACACACACGTACATATACGCATATTAATATTTTATCAATTAGCTCACTACAATGTTAGCTAGATAAGCTAAATGGTTACCAAATAAGCAATGAGCAAAAGACCACGTGACAGCATCATGTAGTTCGTTTACAGCATTTTGATTCACTGATTCGAGAAACTTGGGTCACAATGCTGAGGGAAAGGCAAATATCAGGTAAAACTTGCCAGTTCACAGTTATGCTTAAATGTAGCAACATGATAACATGCTTAATTCCACAGTTATGTAACAAATTACATTTACATTCAATTTACATTCATCAGGTTAAAGTCTGCACTTCAGATATTTTACATTTGTTTAGAAAACAATGAGAAAATGTGGCAAAAATGTAAAAGATTGTTTTTCCATATGCAAAACAAGCCTGTACACACAACAGTAACTTTTTAATAAATTCAAATCATAATAAAATCTCTACGTATGAGCAATGTTATTGACTGGAAGTGTGCACTTTTGACAGAACTTTCCACTTTTCAATTATGAGTTATGAGTGAGATCATTAATGTAATATTACAACATGCTTATGTTATCTTCTTGTGTTATCTTATGACTTCTTAAGGTTAAATGATTGAACTGTGAGAGCAGAAAGCATGATGGAAGTTTTTAGGTAGTGTTACGTTTTAGTGTTAGTGTTAAGTAAGTGTTTAGCAGTGCTGGGATAACACAGCATTAAACACATTACAGTAATGTGATTACGTTTTTCTGTAACAAAGTAGAGAAACGTATTACAGTTTTTAAAAATTACACTTAATAAAAATGGTGTTATTCATATATTTATAACTCATGCATTTCATTCATAACTGAAATTGTAAGGAAGACATTGCATTATTTCAGGATTCAGCAATTTAACTGTCAGAATATTTACATTGAGACATTTCCTAATGCTAAATTCACTTATTACTGCTGGACAGAAAGCTATAGATTTAACAAGATTTATGGTCTTGAGGAGAAAAGGCTCGGGTGGTTGCTCTTTAAAAAGACGTGTCTGCAGCCACCAGTGATACAGTAATGCTGATGTATGGAAATCTAAAGGCAGCATAAGCAGTTCTTTTCAAACAGCTTGTCGAATTATTCTGTGTTAAGTAGGGCTAAGAGCAGTAATGGCTTCTCATGGGTATGCACGTCTTAAGTATTTAGCTTCAGTTTTGATGTGTGAAAAGCTTCGAAAGATGTCACAGAATCACAAAAACCCATTCATACTGATTTATGTACTGGTCTTGTATTAGAACAAGAAACGGATTAAAGGAATCCTTCGGATAATCAGGTCATTACCTAATTTAGTGAGTATATATATATGGAACTAATTAAGTTTCAGTTCTTGAGAGGATTTTTTCTATGAGTTAAGGCCATTGCTTATTTAGCTTTCACAGAAGAAGTATACTGATACATACTGTGTCATCCACCATGGGTCACGCTGCCATGGGAAGCTTAGGGGGTATGGCCATGCAAAGTGGCTCTCAGGATGCGGCACACTCCCAGATTGAAAGGGACATTTTTTTTTTGTTGTTGTGTTGTTGGTTATTGGTAGTGTAGTTATATTTGTTTAGGAATTGTTTCTGTCTTTGTAAAGATTCACTGTTAAAGTGCCTGTTTCAATAATACACATTTATTTTTGCAACTGAGAATTTTTCATCCTCTAAGGTGGGTGGGACATGAGTTTTCACCTTTTTGACGGAGAAAAAGTTCTCCTTGTTTAGTCGCGCTGTAGCTTTTATCGTTTACAAGCTCATCAAAGGAGAAACTGTATTACATAAGTGTGAGAGCGCTGTAAGAATTTGAGAAAGATATGCTGCTCTGCATATCTAAACAATCTAAAAGGTGAAACTGTAGCTTGTTTGACTAAAATGCAGTGGTACCGGCACCCTTCCCAGCAACCCAACAACAATGGTAGACGCTGAGGTAGTATTGTTGAACTGAAGCTCTGGTAGTATTATCTGTTTCCTTGACATGTTTGATGCGTTATTTTAACTAACGCAAGGTTCTTGGCATCACAAGCAGAAGGGCATGTAGTTTCATTATTCAAAGACTTCATTTTAAAGCATCTACAACACAAAGGGGCCTGCATGAAGAGGATACAGGGAAAGAACAAAGAGGCATGAAGTACCTGGCAGTCCCCCAATGTAGGTGTCAACTGGTTGCTGCATGGTGCCATTGAGCTTGGTCAAGGCCTGTCTGAGAGCATCACTGTCAATGTAGGAGACAGTGGAAGAGTTAGCCGCAAGGTGGAGGCCATCTGCAGACACGTGCAACTCCACCACCAAGTGCTCCGGATAACACAGCATCAATGACTGGAGTTTCGCAACTGAAACGCCATCTAGAAACACCTGCAGGTCCTGTCATAGAAATGTAATGTAATGTAAGTGTACAAGTGTGGCAGTCTAAGAACTGAGAGAAGTGCTGACCTACCCAAGGATGGGCTTGGGTAAAATAAAACACATGGTTATCCAAATTTGTCTTAATAGTTCCTTATTTATCTGGGAATTCGAATAAGACATATTCAAACTGTGTAATTTGTAATAAAGGAATGAAATCAATTACATGTTGTTATCTTCCTTTTTTTAAATAGGTTTTTGACTGAGTGGGGAATGTACAACAGCATAGAATATTGTGTCTCACATTAGTAATATGTGGAAAAATATTACAAACAAAAGACTGTATAAGTTATTGCACAAGTTACTGCTCTGTAGGTCATCTGTTAGAATTTGAAATCACATAAGCCCATAAGCCTATGCTCAAAACACAAGGATGAATCACTAAACCAACCAAACAATCAAGTATGGATTATCTCTCATGATAGCTGTGCACAATAAGTGAGTGTTGCACAAACGTGAATGTCATTTTTTTCATAACTATACAAAATATGTTATGACCAGAGCATTCAAATAATGTTTTTAAAAATGTTTACATTCAAATAGCAAACGTAAAAAACATTTAGGCAGCACAGCAATATGTGTATTCTTACTGCTTCATTTGGTCCTTGTGTTAGCACAGAGACAGACAGTGGGACAGTGTCATTGCTAACTAGGGCAAAGAGGACGCCTGTGCTACTGGATGGACGAATGCTCATCACCACGTCTACTCTCCATTGACCTTTCAGACCTGATGAAGCAAAGACACAACATGAATGTAATGTGATAATTATTTACAATTTTTTTTTAAATTCAGCATTATCAATTACTTTGTTATTTATATGGACATATAGACACTGCTAACATTTCAAAACATACCCTTCACTTCTCTATACAGTCCATATATGGACATTATACAGCCTGTTTTGAATGTATTGTTGCTGTGATTGTAGCTGGCCTACAGCGGCTTAGCTCTGATCATTCACATTGAAGTTATAAGGAGTGTTTCGGCCCAGGCTGCTTTTTAAATGAGGCACAGTACAGTTCAACCAATCAGAACAGATCTTTTTTATATATATAGTCTTAAAGGCACAGTAGCAAAAACAGCTTGGTTAATTCTAAGGGATAAAGAGAGGTAGAAATAGAGGTAGAAACATGTACAGATAAATTATGACTGTTTTTGATATGTGAACCCACATAAACGTGGTTAGTGGACCTCAGGGGGAAAAGATAAAATCCAAGATAAATGTAGGAAGTCTAAAGGACCCATACTTCATGTGTGTCCATGTGTCAGTTCTTCAATGTCATAACTATGTCTACCTAAACTACTATTAGTCTCATAGTAGATAGGGAATAGGCCATCTTAAAGTTATTAACTCAATAATTAGCCTTTTAAAGTGTTATTTTTTTAAATGGTCATCTTTAACCTTGCTGTAATCTTCTCAAAGGTTGGTGTTGAGGACTCACTGTAGTCAATGTTGAAAAGGGCCAGCCCCAAACCAACAAAGTAGGATCCTCTCTCCACATAAAGAAAGCAGTGCTTGCTCTCCTTCTCCTGGATGGCCTCCATCACCCCAGAAGCCCCCTGGTTCATCAGGTTCCAGCCACGAATACAGCCATCTAATCTAGGGTTGATCTGAATGTTTCACACACACACAGGCTTAGGCAGCTAAGTAATTTATATAAATGTACATTCTTTCTTCACGAGTTCATTAAATTCCAGAAGTCTAGCTAGTGTATAAGTCTAAGTTTACACAAACTTTATCTAAACTCATCTAAAGCATAATCATGTGTGAGTGTTTTCATTTAAAAAGCAGATACAGTTTACGCAATGCAAAGTATAACATAACATGCAGATGTGTGTTGGCTGAGTGGACGGATACCTGTTTAATAACACTATCAGTGCGGTTGGGCAAGCCAGCGATGTAAACGTTGGTCTCCAGTTTGCCATTGACAGCTGTGAAAAGGCTCCCAGGACTACTTATACTCATCACTGCCTCCTTGCTGATCTTCACACTGATACTGTTCTCCAGCTCCTCAACTGAGATCTGCAGATAAATGATAGTATAAGAAAGCACAGTGAACAAACAACAAACCAGTTTTAAAAGCTCAATTACAAAATAAAAAGTCAGGGTTGGGATTTAACAGTCTACAAGCATTCAGAATGACCGTTGTTCTTCACATAAAACTTGTAGTCTACCACAATTACCAGGAAGACTATAACTTCCAGCTATATATTTACTTTTATTATCAAAGTGATAATGTCAATTAAACTGATTAATGCCCTTTGAGCCTTTGAGATTGAGTTTATCATATTAAGGGGGTAAGTTTAAGTTTCTTGTCAAAGTTTCAGTTTCTTTTTCTTAAGTTTCAGTTTTACTGATCAAATATTTGTGCAAAAGCAAAACACACAATTGCGCCACAGGAACGCAGAACTTTTGCTTTCAAAACAGCTTGTACACATTGCAGCAACCCAGACGCAAAAATACAGTGTGCATAAACACTCACCACATGCCACTGGCCATCATTAATGGCTTTGCCTCCACTGGTGACATTAACAGAGTGCTGGTTCTTGAACTGGATCTCGATGCGGCCACCTCTCAGTCCCAACAAGAACCAGGAGTGTGAGAACGATTCAGCATACAACACTACACCCTCCGGATCGAATGTCCGGAAGTCAAATTCAGCAGAAAATCTATTGTGACAAAAGAAGAGACCGTAAGCAAAACTATTCCAAAGGAATAGGAATTTGTGGAAACTGGATATATTCTGTTTTTTTCAGAATTGATATCCTTGGACTACAGGGGCATTCTGGCATTGAACTAGCATGTAATGTGTTATTTGTCACGTTATGTTGTATTTTGTAGAGCAGCACTGTATCTGTTAGAACCGTTGCTCTAGAGACGACTGTGTACTGCTGTGAGAGGTGAGCAGACAATGTTTACAACAGATGCATCAAGAGAGTTACAATTGTTTGAAAATCTCTTTAATGTCACAGTGCTAGTTTGACTCCTGATTTCATTATTCATGGATGCCACTTAAGTAAGTACAGTACAGGGTGATTCAAAAAGATTCATCCGATTTCAAAGCGCCATATTTTTACAACCATGAGGCGCCTGGGAACCAATCACATACCAATTGAAAGAGGGGGTCACAGAGTTTCTGCCTGTCACCGGAAGATGGCTCCCTTCAGTCTTTGAGGAGATGGCGACCCCTGAACAGAAAGCGATTTGCGTTCTCCTCTTCCATAAGTGTGAATCCATCACAACTGTGCAATGTGATTTTGGTCGGCAGTGAACCTCTAACAGCTCAGAGCGTTTGTTGTTGGTTCCGTAATCGCATTGAAAGAGCCGTGAGTACAGTGACACCCGACATGCTAAATCGAGTATTGGATGAATTTGACTATAGCATTGGTGATGTCTGTACAGCTGGAGGAGGCCATACTAAGCACTTGTAAAATTACATAATAAACTTTATACTCACTTAAACCATTTACAATTTACTGCATTGCTCTGTAATGATCTACAATAATTTTGAAATCGGATGAATCTTTTTGAATCACCCTGTATTGTGCAAATCACCCTTCATTTATTTAATTTCCAATGAAGATGGCCAACAACTAAATATAATTTCTAAACTGTTTGTCCACTCTATGTCTTTTTTATTACTCGGGGGGACTTGCTTTAAGAATTTAAAAGGATTCTGCTGGGATATTTTTTCACACCTCCAAAGTTCAGTCTTAGAAGATGGTTACTTTTTATTTACTACGAGGTGGTCAGTCCATTGTTCTGAGAACACCAGCAGCTTCTCTATATGATTTACAAAATTTCTTGGTTTTTGTCTATTTCCTTTTCCCAGTAATGGCTTCTTGACAGCTACACATCTTTTCAGACCCAAAGCAGTGAGTTGTTTTCTCACAGTGGAAGACTGAACCTGAAACACCTGTTTTTTCAGATCTGAATATCTTTAAATAATTTTTCGAACTTTTAATTTTTTTTAAGTTTTGAAAAATCCTTTGACTTTCCTCTTTTTATTGCAAGTATCTAGTCCCCTCATAAATATCTCCTAAAAAAGTGTGCTTAATGGCCTTTTAACTTGAAATTAAAGAAAAATAAAATGTGGTCTGAGATTTAGGTCTCTGATTTATGTTGCTGTGCATTTTTCTTCCACAGCAACATAAGCTGGACCAAACTGTCATCCTTATTACAGTGAAATTCAAAAAGAATTGGCAACTGTAACTCTTTTATTACATCAGCATGATTTGAAAATGTGTCTCTGGTCAGTTTAAAAGCAAAGGCGCCCCTCACTTGGTATTCTCAGGAAGACGGAAACGCAGGTAGATCACAGGCAGGCCTGCAAACTGCTCTCCAAGGTAAAGCATCTCCTCGTGCTTGTGGTCATAGAGCTGCACACACTCAGGAATCTGCTCACAGGACTGCCCATCTGCAGCCAGGTTCAGCCCCAGTCGCCCGTCACAGTGGCACGAGTAGCCGCCCACTGTGTTCACGCAGTCGACCTCGCACACATTCAGCGCACACTCGTCCACATCTAACACACACACAATGTACACATGCAGGGTCTTGTCAGCTGTAACTCGTGAAATATGCTTCAGTTAGTTCATACTTTTCTCATCTACCTAGTAGTGTGACCTATACAATAAAAACATAACTAAAAATAAAGTAAAAAAAAATGATAGAACACTCTAAAGTGAAGTATTTTAACAAAAGTTCTTGCACACTACAATTTCTCATTAGGTTGAATGGGATTTTTGCCATAATTCTGTAAAGCTTGTGCAGCATCACAACAGTTATGAATGAATTCATTTGTGGGCAGAGCATGGATAGGTTAACTGGTAAAGCAGTGATTCATATGTGGGTTTTGGATCCACTTCTTTTTTTGGATTTTTGAAAATGTGGAGAAATAACTGGATGGAAAATCTAGGAAAAAATTGAGTACATTTAGCAAAAAAGAAAAAAAGTACACGTTTGGATGAGAAGAAATTAGTAGTTTATTGAAACGAAAGACGTGTTTGGCTCTGTATCTTCTCAAAACTGTTTTGCCTTGCCTTTTGACAGGGGTTCAGTGGGTGAAGGTGAAGTGAGACAGCGCTTTCAGCTCTCATTAAATGAGCCACTACCCGTTCTGCTTGGCATCTCTGAACTGTTAGGCCTACATCGATGTATGTTTAACAGTGAGATGTCAAAACTGCACTACGGAGAGCTAATAAAGGTTCAAATTCCTCCATGTATGGTGAGCAGGACTGTGGCCTGCGTTGCACAGCCCAAGCATGTCATGCCATCTTCAAGGACTTGTGCATAAAAGTAGTTGATGGAAACACTGATTCATTTGCATTCTCTTTTACCAACTTTTCGGAAATTGGCGAAATGTTTGAATGGAAGCCTAGCTACTGTTTAAGCCAGATCCCATGCATTTTCTCTTGAAGTCTTAAGTTTAGGAAATGAGTAAAATTTCACTTTCTTACAAATTCTTGGGATATCAGATATCTGGTTTACAGCACCCCACACACACAACTTTACTTTGCAGTATTACTTATATGGTTCTGAAAGTCTGTCAGAAGCCCTAGTTACAGTCACTAATCGCCACAACAGGACAATCAGTATTTAGTTAAGAACCCCCTCCCCTGAATACTTATTATCAAATCATAGGAACTGACAACTAAATTAAGTTGGTCAGTAAAGTACTGTTTAACTACAATTACTGCAGTCCGTTTAATACATTAACCATACAATCATTAAGCTGCTAAGAATTATTACTATTATTGCTACTATTAGCAGTGTGCACCAATTAATAGACATATAGTCACTGCTGCTGAGGACTAAAAGAGGAGTTATTTTATATCCTTCCCCACACCACTGTCCGCTGCTTATTGTTTAGTCTCTTTTGCCCTGTGCTCACGGTTTATTTAACAGTGTTTGTGTAGTTTATGCTCTGAAATGATTATATTTATTGTTTGCTTGTATGCAGTCTGCTAGGTCTGTGTGTTGAATGAAGCATCATGTTCTGGCATGTTCTCTGTTGCTACTATTGTCTGTTTGGGCTCTGTGCTACCCTGCTGTTTTCCATCACTGGAATCAACCACTCAGGAGAATGAGATGTGGTTTGAAAGATAATGCATGGTTCATGGATGTGTGAAGTGGGGATGCTGAGGGGGCTGCAGCATCCCCAGATTTCAGGAATTCAGAACTGATCAAAATAATTATAAAATCATAACATAATTTGAGTGTAGTAAAGACCTAGCATGCCTGTTGTAAGGTGGAGTTTTTATTTTTATTTTAAGTTCTTCTTCTATATTTTCAAAATCTGTAGTAGATGTGTACTGTTTAAGATAATGCTAAATTTCACTGAGCGAGTTGCTTTCCACACCAACTGTTGGAGATTTGGAGGTGTGTCAGTAAAACACAAGCCTAACAGGTGTCCACTGTCAAAGTGTATGCAGAATTGCAGGCTTTTTCTGAGCACCCAAGGGGCCTAATACTGTTTTGTAAACTTGAAGTCATCTAAAATAATAATGTTCCACAATTTGAATACATTTGTTTTGTTTAATGTCCCACTTCTGTCATTCGAGTGTTGAATTTAAGCATGTAGCTCAACTACAGGTGCGACACAATCAGTTACTGTGCCACATATCAGCAATATGATTGGTTGCAGCTCAGCTCAGAAGCAGAGAAAGCAGAGTAAGCAGGGTGTGCATCAGTGGTTTAGTGCGTCGGTTCTCACCTATACATGTATACTGGTGTCTCTCACCACACTATAGCATGTTATGACACATTCTGCTAGACATAAATTATACAAAAAACTCTCATAAAAACCAAATTGGCATATCGTTTTGCTTGACATTGCTGTACACATCTGTAGATGACTATACAAAAAGCTCCAATGCCTTTCTGCATCCCTGGTTGAATTCAGCCCTAATATACATGCATGAAACCAGTGGTAGACATTGCCTATAGCCCCTGGCCATAACAGTTCACATTTTGGCCTCTAAAAATGCAGATCCTGTGGCCTGAATGGCCACTTGCCTTGGGGATTGTTTGCATTCTTTTTCCTTGTGGTGAGATACAAAACTAATCAGACAAATCAGATTTGGTCTGGTTCCACTGGCAGAAGTTTGCTAATATCACTATATGGAATAAGTGATATAAAGTGACATAAAGTATAAAACCTGACATCATCTGCTCTTGATTATGTCAGGTTTTTTAGAACTGACCAGATCAGCAGAGTGGACCACAATAGTCACCACACTGGCAATGATCTTGTTTATTTTTAAAACATATTTTCTTTTTTCAAAGCAAAGGCACTGAAGCATGCTTGTTAATTGTATACAATGAACATAAACATGTTTCTATTATTAAGAACTAAACATTTGTGGCCACAGGCTTCTTTGGTTTAGTGGCCCAAATGACCAGTGCAAATTGTATAACTGTCTACACCTGCACCTGCATGGAACATTTATATAGTGTACAATGGTGTACAGAACCCTCTAGTGGTGAACACAGTGTGTGTGTGCACGGAGGCTTCATCAGTGGTATATAGCGCATTCATGTGTATTCAGGTCTTAATTTGTAATTTATGAGGTTCCAAAACACAGGAGTCATATAAATAAACCAAAACCACAAAATAAAAATGAACTTGCAAAATATGTGACATATTTAAATTCAAAATTGATACTGAATTAAAATTCCAGTTTAACCTGTAACCATGACTGTGTAATGTTTACTAAGCATTTCGGCCTCGGAATAAAACAAAAAGTTCATCAAAGAAAAAAAAATCTCTTCCGAGACCATCCTCTCTGTATATGGACAGGGAAGCATGAACACATCTTATTCAAAACATGAAACGAACTAAGCTCGTCATAAACATTACAACAGTACAAACAGTTATTCAACTTGAAAGTGATTTATGAAATCTCAACACAGAATAACACAGCCAGAATAACAGAGAAAAATAATGAGAAAGTTATGTTGGACATTCTGGCGCATGGGTTTTTAGGAGTTCTGAGTTTTGTGCATCTTGGTTTCTTTTTTTCCTGTTCTGATGTCAACACTTAGCAGATGCCTCATAGTTAACTTTAAGTTACTACTTTGCTGTAGACAAAGTTATGTTATATACTTAGTTATGATATATGGACCTTTCTACCAAGTTGGATCAAACTTGAAAACACATTTCAGACTTTTCACTGACTTGGACTTTAGACTAAAATCCTTTTTCCTATTTTAGCTGCCTGCAGCGTGTGCACGTGCAGTGACTAACAGTCCATTAGACACTCCTCCTGGCTCTGAAAGTTTTAGCAAATATGACAAAAGGTTACTTTTATACAGGTTATCTACTGCAGCTTTAATTACTGTGGGACCGCAGTTTGAACTAATTAGGTGGAATTGTCCATATATGTTGAGCTGTTTGAACAAATGTATGTCAGATCTGGGTGGTGCTGGATCCGGGTCCAGCTTGTCCCGTGTTTGTGTTGTATGTGTGGTGTGAGTGATTTCTTACCCAGGCACTCGCGTGAGGTATAGTTGTACTTGTATCCGACGGGGCACTGGCACTCATACGTGCCCTGAGTGTTGACACATTTGGCCGGCTCCTCACAGATACTGGGATAAAGCCTGCACTCATTAATGTCTGAAAAAGAGATGAAGATTTGACACCATACATATATACCTTTATCTCAAACACACTTAATACTCAATACTCAAAATGCATGCCCTTTTGCTCTAATGCTGGCAACACACTCAAACACACAACCTTTGGCTGCAAACACTTCTCCACAAACACATGCGCAAGCACAAGCTCTTTCCCACACAAACACACGTTCACATCTCTCAGTTGAGCTGTAAACGGACTACATTAGTGTGGCAGAGTAAGATTTCTAAGAGTCTGTTTATTGCAATGGGAAAGATGTGCCTAGCCAAATGGAGGTCAGGGACTTACACTCTTACACAATACAGAAAAAAGTACTTTCAAATGGAATCTACAACCTTTTATTAGAGGCTGTGAAAACAAAAGATTCACACAGTATGTGTACTTGTGTGTATGTGAGTGTATGTATGTGTGTGTGGTGGGTGGGGGGTGGGTCATATTTACACGTGAGTTATTAAGATGTTAATGTTTTGATCTCCATGGGTCCCTTGACATGTAACCACACAACTTTGTTGGAGTCATATTTTGCTATTACAGGAAAAAAAAAAATCTCAGCATTCCCGGAACAGCTGTTGGGACTCAGACCCAGCTGGCTGACAGCATGGAGAGAGAGAGAGAAGTCAACTGGATCTGGATCAGACCCTGAACCATAGCTAGGTCAAGTACTTTTTTCCAAATAATTCATGTCCTCACGAATAAATTTTGCATAAGCTGTTTGGAAAAATAATTGTTGTTTACTAGGTGATTTTTTAAACTGAAGCACGAACATAACTGAACATACAATACTTAATTGACCATTTGCAAAATAATGATTGAAATGTCTCTTAGCCAGTCACACATGTCTCTAAGCACCACGTCTGTTAAATGAAGGAAAAACTTTGACAAAACCTTCTCAGAAAAAAACTGCAGTGAGAATGACGGCAGCAGTAAATTAGTTCGAAATTTCAGGTTAGGAGTTATGAAAACGTGTCCCTTACAAGCTTGTAGTACAGACACTGTTTTTATTTCACTCCTGAAGATGGAAAAGTTTTGGATTAAACTATATATGGAAGATCTAATTCACAGCTCTGTGGAAAAACTATAAACAGGCAGACTTATTGTAGTAGGTTACTGTATTTGCTAACACACATTTTAACGTGATGTCACAAAGCAATGTTAGGATCAGTTAACTAGTCAAGTTGGCGTTTCGTACCTGAACTGTTGACAGTTAGCTTGATAAATTAGTCAGATTAAACAGGTCTGTACAGTTCTCCTCAGTATAGCTCTGAGGAGTTCTAGTTGTAGTGTAGCTTCAGTGCAAGGTTGTGTCCTCATCTGAAGGGGCAGGGTTTTCAGTTCAAATCACCTAGTTAGACAGGGGTGTCACAACGCACATGTCAAGTCAAGTCAAGTCAAATTTATTTGTATAGCGCTTTTTACAACTGATGTTGTCACAAAGCAGCTTCACAGAAATCCATGTTCATATTCAGTTTTTTTTTCAGGAGACGATAAGCGCTGTGAACCAAATACAGTTAGATTTCTTGCTATAAAATTCATGATAAGAGCAATGGTTTCTACAGTTCTGTTTAATCCATTGTATTCCTAAAAGTGATAATCATCAACATAAAAAACTCCAATGCGCAGCTGGAAAAAATGGTTTGGTTAGTCTACCTTGAATGGTTAATTAGCCAAGCTGTTTGAAATGGCAAGGCTCCTTTGTCAAGTACAAAAATGATGGGCAAAAAGTGGTAAATGAAATGAATACCTCAGATATGCTGACCCATTTGTGAAGACATTACCCAAATGTGTCAGTTACCAGAGCGAGGAGAAAATGCAATGCTGAAGTTTATGCGATGATGTCACAGCGCCAATGCATATTCTACCCTCACCCCTTCACACCATTCCAACTGGCTTCGCAAGCCACCATTTCTCCTCATTGGGGTGGGGACTCTTACTTGGGACTTGCTTATTCGATCCTATTGTATTGTGTTCTCTGCCTATGTAATGTTGATAGTGCCACTTTTTTCTTATGTTTCATTCCATGTAATACGACGTTATTTTGTGATGTTGCAATTGCTCAGTAGGTCGAGTAATTGAAACATCACAACCCCTCCCTGTTTCTACTAGGGGTGGGAATCTTCAGGTACCTCACGATTCGATTCGATTACGATTCAGAGGGCTGCGATGCGATTATAAAACGATTATCGATGCATTTTGATGCATCTATTTTCTATACAGGATTTCTTTTTTCTCACTGTGTGAGGACTTGGTACTTTTAAAGCAAAGTATTTTTAATGATCCATAATGAATTTACTTCCAATATCTTTTATTAATAAAACAAATGGAAGTGATGTTCCAAGTCACCTGGAAGGCTCTCATTTCACTGCTCTTGTTTGGAGCATGAGACGCTGGCTGCCACTCATCTGTGATACAGTGCGCAGTTACGGTGAAATAAAATCCTGAGGCAGTGGGTGTCCACGCATCACGTTACAGCTATCCTACCTGTTTTCTTTAGTGATTTCATAACTTTGCTTTTGGTCTCATTGTAGAGATTGCGGGGTCGCTACGTCAGTAAAATATTTTCGAGAAGGGGCGCTGTATCTCGGCTCCGAAGTGTGCAAGATGGCATGAAAGCCCTGGTTCTCAACAACTGAGAACGGACGCAAATCCTTGTCAATAAAAGTTGCGATAGAGTTTGTAATTCGCTTTGCCCTCTCCGAGTTCGGTGTAAGCTTTGACATCGCTTGCTCAATGGTTCTCTGGTTGACAACTACGACCGGGCAGAAAACGGGTGGAAACTCATGTTTGCCGTGTTTCCAAAATATTCCAAAATATTTTAGTTTAGTGTGACACAACTTGTATATAGTGTGGCTACTGTCCAGGTCCCTTTTCCTTTCAACTTCATAGAAGCCAAAGTGCTTCCATACTCTAGCTCAGGGGTTGGAAACATACGGCTCCAGAGCTGCATGCGGTCCTTTTACTGTCCTGTTGCAGGTCCACAGAATTAGATTGTTAGGTAAAAATTAAATAATCCTCCTTTTCAGTAAGATAAAGCTCTGCTGATCGCTCTAACACAGTTCAAACAATAAATGGTGCTAAAAATTTGCTAATTCACCACCCTATAACTCTGAAGATTAGTGTGCAGACAGCAGGTCACATAGCAACGCAGACAACATTTTCACTCAGCTAGCAGCTAACGAAAAGACAAAGATTAAGGTGAACATCAACATCCAACGAATGGGCGTATTTGCATTTATAAGCGGGTTTCCTGGAACGTTTAGTCTGCAACGAGAAACTGTCAAACACTAGCCACGAAGCTGATGTCAGCTTCTTTCTCAAATTGTTCCGTTCCACAAATAATGGTGCAGCAGTTACATTCAGGTGCTTCAGGCACCATTTAAGGTGGAACGGGAAAATTCGAACAAGAAGCTGGAGAATGAGAAGCTGACTTCAGCCTTGTAAAAAATTGAAAGTTGAGAGACATTTTACAAGAAATTATTCTACTTTTGACGAAAGGTTTCTTGCTGGGGATGCAAGAATAGCAGCTATAAGTCTGCAAATTCGTTTAGTACATCAGCACATACTGAGACATATGTATAGCCAAAACGGTAAAATGGACATAAAATGTTGTGGCTACCAAGGTGGTTTGATTTTTGCTGAAGGACAAAACAGCTCTTCTTAATAATTGGGTTTCCCCACCCCTGCTATAACTTTTAATGCCGCATCCTCTCCCACCCCTTTCTTCTCTTTACCTCTGGCCTCCATCCTGTCTGAGCTCCATCTCAACCCAGCTCCATTTGTCTCAGCTCTGAAACTCCTTTCTGACTCCATTCGGGTCCATCTCGGATTGGCTTCAACAAAACTCTGCTCTGCAACTTATTTGTCTCATCTCTGCTCCATATGGGTTAATTTCCAGGACAATCAGCTGCAACTCATTTCTGTCTCAACTCTGCTCCATCTCAGATTAGCTCCAGTACAATCAGCTCTGCAACTCATTTCTGACTCCACTTGGCTCCATCTCAGATCAGCTCCTACGCAACTCAGCTCTGCAGCTCATTTCTGACTTACCTTTCCATCATCTCAGATCAGCTCCAGTACCTCAGCTCTGTAACTCCTTTCTGACAAAGCTTAGCTCCATGACAGATCAGCCCCATCTTGGATCTGCTTCATCTCAGATCAGATCCAACACAATCAGCTCTGCAACTCATCAATGTCTTAACTCAGCTCCGCCTCAGATCAGTTCCACCCCTCATACTGTTGCCTTCACTCTCTCATCCCATTCAGTTCTCTGTCCCTGGAAGCCATGTCCTTGCACCATCGCTAGCCTTTTGGGGGCTTAATTTCCAAACATGATTCTCATCCAATCTCATAACTGAACAACTGTGCTGCCAACAGGACTTTCCATGCCAAGCTACCTCCTGCAGTGACCAGAGCATCATCCAGCTGCCTGTCATCACACCCATCAACTCCCATATGCAGCAACTACCTTCTAACAGCCATTCCTGTTCCATGCTCATGCCATTCAGGAGGATTTAATCCACTTTACTCTCAACCAGCCCCTTTGCCTGCCAGGTTTAACACAATATTCACAATCCAGTGTCGACCAGAGAAGGATGGGTTTCCCTGTTAAGTCCTGGTTCCTCTCAAGGTTTCTTCCTGACTGGGAGTTTTTCCTTGCTGCTGTCACCCTTGGTTTGCTCATCAGGGTTTCAGATATGGATGTCTGTTAAGCAGCATGCCACCATGTCACACTGAATCAAATTCATCTGCTGCATTCTTCTTCTCATTTTACAACCTTACCTAAATAGCTACTTTACTTACTCCCAGTACCATACAAAGGGCCAGTGTAACTAGACCGTTTTTCTGCTTAGCCCAAACTTACCAAACTATCTTCTTCTACCTAACCAAACTTCTGCCTAACCAAACTACGCCTTACTTAGATATCCAAATGCTAGACCATCTGACCAACACCTGATTCTTAATCCAGCTCCATATTCCACTGGCATACACTCATACCAAGTTCTGTACTCAAGCAGCTACAGTTCTTGTCACTTCAGAATCAGCTCTGGCAGAACAGAGATTTCTGGACATCTGTCCTTCTCATTGTGTGAAGATCACTTAGTCCTAGACCTCAAGAGTTCATCCTGGGGTTTTGGGGGTCCAGCCTTCTGGCTACAGAGAAAAGACACCCAGAACTCCAGCCCAAGTTCTCAGAGTTCTCCCCCGTTCCTCAATCAGTCTTCCCTTATACTACCACCACATGTTGAAGGCACAGTTCGAACTCAAAAACTCATTTCAGCCAGAAGGTAAGAGGCACACTTCATATAGAAACACAAGATCAGATTGTAAATTAACTTATAATTCTCAGTTAATTAGATACTTAGGTAGCTTTATAGTTTACATGTTTCGTTAACCTTTATATAGATATTGCCTTTCAGATTTTTGCTTATGTTCTTTTAAAATTTATTTTCTGTCTTTTAAGAAAATGACTGGTCTCAGTTATTCCTTCAACAAGCTGACAGCAGTGGAAATTACAAAAAAAGGTTCTGGAAATTATGAAAAAATAAATAAATGTAATTCGGTATTGAAACCGTATAGTATCGTGATGCAAAAATGTCAATATGTATAATATCATGAAATTTGTGTATTGTTGCATCTCTATTATTAGACATGAAAATCATTCGTTTTAATGTCCAGTGGCCAAAAGACCCTAGTTTTATTAATGTAGTTTGGAGTGATAAAAGCTTGAACAAGTAATCAGACATAATGCACATTTGCAAAAACTGTTAAATGATCTTCTTGGGATTAATGGCAATGAACCAGCTTTGCAATGTACTCATCTTCCTGTGCTCTGCTTCTTTGATTTTCAATGGATGTAGAACCAGGTCGCGCTACCAATCTAAAAGAAGTTCTCCTCCAAATAAGGCTCAAAACTCACAACTAACTAATAATTACTAATAAATGATTAATTTCATTAATTAATAATTCATTTCATTATTGCTGTACAGTCCATCACCCGAACGGGAGACAATATTGTTACAATAATGTTAGTTGTAGTTCCATTTTACATTGAAGAACCTATGGTATGCAGCCATCATGTAGGCTGAACAACCTTAATGTAGTTCTCAGCTTTCTGTAGTTACAAATGTGAGATGTCTTACCTTCACAGTAGATCTTGTTACGCAAATAGTAACCATCCTGACACGAGCAACGGAAACTTCCAGGCAAGTTAGAGCATTGCTGGTTACAACCAGCAAGAAATTTGGGATCTCCACATTCATCAATATCTGTCAGATAATTATAAAATGAGCCATATTATACCTTTTTCTTAATTAATGCTTCGATTCAACAGCTGCAAAGACAAGGCAACTAAGGCAACTGTTTATTTTAATCCCTTCATTTTTATTACAGGTTCTGAATCCATAATGGAGCTGGATTAATAACCACTTTCTGCCCACCTTCTTTACAGAGAGGGCCAATCCATCCAGGTTTGCATACACAGGTGAAAGTTCCCTGACCGTCAATGCAGCGTTCATATCCCTCCTTATGGCATGGCAGTGGCAGGCACTGGTTACTGATCTCTGCAGAAAACAGACAGTCACAGCCTCTTATGGCATGTAAAATAAGACCTACTAGGTAACTGTTACTAATATTTTGAAAAAATCTATTTAAAATATGGGCAGCACGGTGGCGCAGTGGGTAGCGCTGTCACCTCACAGCAAGAATGGCCTGGGTTCGATTCCCGGCTGGGTGACCAGGGTCATTTCTGTGTGGAGTTTGCATGTTCTCCCCGTGTCTGCGTGGGTTTCCTCCGGGTACTCCGGTTTCCTCCCACGGTCCAAAAACATGCAGTCAGGCCAATTGGACATGCTAAAATTGCCCCTAGGTGTCAGTGAGTGTGTGAATGTGTATGTCTCTCTGTCTGCCCTGCGATGGACTGGTGACCTGTCCAGGGTGTATCCTGCCTTCCGCCCAATGACAGCTGGGATAGGCTCCAGCACCCCACCGCGACCCAGAAGGATAAGCGGTTTAGATGATGTATGTATGTATGTATTTAAAATATAGGAATGAATGACTTTATGAAGACTCCTTGGGGGATCTTAGATTAATGCCTACTGATTTGCCAATTATTCTACATAGTGTCACAATCACAGGATCTGCTTAACCTTGTACACAGGTGCGGAGGTCCTGAGGGACCCCAGGTTCTGCATGTGGGATGGTGATGCCTACACGGTGGGACCCCAGGCACCCTAAAACACAGAGAAATTTTCTTTCTGTTACAGTTTATATAATAGAACTCAAACACATCAGACATTTTGTCATTAATGGCCTGAGCATTAGGATCAGATCAAGGTGCTATGGGGCTTATCTAATGTTTCTCTTCAGTCTTCCAACATCATGTTGCATCAGGTTACAAACTGTAAAAGAGAGTAGATCTGGCTGCGAACAAATTAAAGCTATAGAGAAGTTATGTAGTTTTGTCGTTCAATGTAGGTATGACAAACAAGTGTGTAAGTGTAAAACGGTAAGGAGCTCTGAAATCATGGGCTGCTCAGAAGGAAAAGTGAAGAGACAGGGAGATGGTGGGGTAGAAATTTGGTGTGGTCTTTGCCCCAAACCTTTTCCTATCTCCATTTTGAGAGTGCAATCATGGTTTCAATGTATGGCTGTTGTATGTGGAGAGATTGTGGGACTGTAGTAGGGGAGGAAACCCTAAAAGGTGGGCCAGAGTTCTGATTTGTACAATTAGGCCAGGTTAAATTAACTACAGCTGCTCGTGAGCTTTTCTTGGTTTGTGAATTTGTGTTTGAAAATATTGCAGGGAAGACCAGTGCCCAGGAAGTTGGATGGTGTGATCAGAAAGTCCCTGCTGGGATGAAAAAGACGTTGATCTGGATGTTAATCACTTTGGGTCAGAACTTGGCAGCATGGAAAATGTGGTGGGAAACAACAAAACCTATTTTTGAGATAAAAGTCAGTTTAGATGACAGAGAATGTCTGAGCTGGAGGTGGTACACTATGGATTCATAGGGTACAGAGAGAAATTTAGCCTGAAAATATAAAACAGTTTGGAGACAGTGTTGAGAATGGCTCTAAATGTCAAGCCTCTGAATTTCTGAAACTGGAAGAGAGAGACTCAGCTATGGCATTTGAATGACCAGGAATGTATATGACTCTGTGGATAACCTGGTGTTTACTGAGTGCTAAGTGGGATGATAAAGAAATGGCATAAGGGTCAGGGATGTGAGGCATCTTTTATTGATGATCTGGACAGCTGCATTTTCTGAGTGAATGAGGATGACTCCATGCCCCCCGTGAGAGGCAGTAATAATAATGGCCACTGACCACCACAAAAATTGCCAAAACAGAAGGACAAAGCTGTATCTAAAGACCTGCAGGTCCTCCAACGAGAAGACAGCATCCTCATAGAAGGAGGACATGGCTTTCCAGTTTTGAAGGAGGACGAGCCAAAAGTGGTTCCATAAAGCAGGCATCATCCAGAGAAATGGAACAGAGCGGTGACAAGCAGGTCTCAGAAGGTTGGAGATGTCCCTTGGGTACGATGCAAATATCAGGTGATGTGGCCCGAAGAGAAGTTGAAGTTCAGTGCCTTGAGGACAGCTGACATAATTTCATAATGCAAGAGTGATAAGCTTAGCCTGTGGAATTATGGAAGGCAGCAATATCTAGAAGGATGCTGAAGAATTTTACTAATGCGGTGAATGCCAAGACAATGGAGGGCTGAGATAGGAACAGAGGCTCTGAGTGGAAAGTGAAAAAGTACTGTCAATGTAGAGCAAGTGTGTCCAATCTTACCCGCAGAGGGCCGGTGTGGCTGCAGGTTTTCACTCCAAACAAGCTGAAGCACACCAGATTCTCCGATTCATTTCATCAGGTGACCTCCTGCTTTGTTAGAGTGAAAACCTGCGGCCACCCCAGCTCTCTGCGGATAGGATTGGACACCCCTGATGTAGAGGAAGTTACTGAGGAGGTGGAGAATACCTAACAATTATTTAGGAGGATCCAGCACAGGCCTTTGGACAGGGTTTTGAAAATCTTTAAAGTACTCTCTCTTCCTGAAGAAGGTGAGATGGACAGCAAAGAAGAATCTGCCATCCCTAGGCACCAAACAATAGACTGAGGGATCAGGGGAACTACTGGGGGAGGGCCACAGCAGGGGGTAGTCAAAGAAGACAGTCTGATGTGAACTGCTTAGAGAATCTGCAGTCGCAGTCCAGGAAGACTCAAGAGGTGGTCACTGGGGCAGGATGATTAGAGGGACAGTGGAGAGGGTGAAACTCAAATTGATCTGGAATGACCAGAGAAGGGCTGGCACCAACAAAGCTGAGTGACTCAGAATAGTATAGGAAGAATGGAATAGGACAGTGACAGAAAAGGACAAGATGAAAAGAAGGAATGGCTGGAATAAATTAGGGATGAGTTTTGGGAACTGTGAAGTGGACTCGATGAAAAGGGGAAGGGTTCTGATGAATAGAGTAGTATTTGGAATGAAACTAGATAAAGCAGGAGTAGATGCAGGCAGAGAAGCTGATGCCCTTCTGGGCTGTACTGGCATGAAAGACAGGTTGCAAGCAAGGGAAGGATCATAATCAAGGGATTCCTGAGTCCAGGGCAGCAGGTACACTGGCACGATTCCCCCATCAGGCCAAGCCATGGCAGTAGAGGACTGGATTCCTTGAAAGGAACCAAGAGTGAAAACAGCTCTACTTCAGGGCTGAGCAGGCAGCACGGTTCCTCTAGGTTCTTCAGAACTTTCTGAAGCTTAGTCATGATCAAGTCAGAAATACAGAGAGAATGAAACTTGAGGAAGAAAGTGCAAAAGTGCTGGAGCCACAGAAAATGTCACACTGCTGTTAGCATGTCTGAGCTAGGGAAGCTAAGGGAGGTTCCTTCCGAAGCGGGACCTAGCATGGCGTAGATGGAAATGAATCCAGATGAGGCAGCATTAGCCAGAGCAGCAAGGACAGCAACGACAGCAACTCCGTATGAATCTTGGCTGAGTGAGAAAAATGCTGACGGCTGGTGAGGAGCTCCACATTAGAAGTGATAATGTCAAGTTCCTTGGTAAGAAGTGAATGCAAAAGAGGCAAGCAGCGGTTGGTATAGTGTAGTGGGTAACACTGCTGGCCTCCAGATGGCAAACTGGGGTTTGACTCTCCACCTGGGCAAGTACACTATGTTAATAAAGCAAAAAACCATGGGAGGCCGTACGAACACCCTTCCCAGAACGCACAGTCTCAAGTGGCTTATAAAATATGATAAAACACACAATTTTTCAGAAAATTATTTGTTATTATTAATAATAATCAACATAAACAAGTTCTCCGCCAAGAAATGTAGTTCCTTTAGCGTATGGTATCTTTGCCAAGCAACCATGGACCGCTGAATGAAGAGTATGTTCGTAGGCCCATCGCTGTATGCTGCGATCATTTCATGATTTTTTTAAAACTTTTAGTCGGATAACAATGAACACATAATAACACAGCACTGTTTAATGCAAAAAACGTTTGCCTTATAAGTACTTTTTGATCACCAAATTACCACCATGAGTGACTTATAGAGCACCAATCCAACGACAGCCCTCTTCTCGTGCTGGAGCTGAATATTAAATGGCTCCCTGCTCCCTACATAGTGCACTACGTAAGAATTTAAATACTGGATCCTGCAGCCCAACGGTGCAAAATATAGCTACGAAATAGTAATCTGGGATTCAGCCACATCCAAACTCAATAAATGAGAATTGACGAGACTTGTCTGAAACACGAACATTTAAAGCGTGTAAGACATTAAAATTACTTTTTTTAGACTTTTATACTGCCATTTTACAGTTACTCATCTATCCATTTGATAACGGATAACGTTTGATAACAGATAACGGATAAGTCCTTGAGCAAGACTCCCAACACTACATTTACCTACCTCTGTAACATGATTAAAATTGCAAGTTACTCTGTATACAGATGTCAGTCAAATAACAATGTTAATGTGAACATGTAGCAATATGAGCGCAGCGCAGCTAATGCTAAAATTAAAAAGAAACAAAAGCGAGAGGCTGAACTAATTTGGAAGTGAGGTAGGAAGGAAAAGTAGCTTCAATCATGGTTGTTCTTCCAAATTTCAGTTCATAAGTTTATTATGCAAGTTAGTCCCAATTACCTATTTATCATTATTCTAAATGACCAATTAATCAATACAATTAAAATAACAATAATCAAAATTTCAAGCTTGTCTGCCTACTAAACACTCCAACTTTCCTGCATTTGATTAAATATGTTAATATTGGTTGTACAAAAATGTGTTACGTCTAGCAGTTTAAAGAACAGCCAAAATTCAATCCTTCTATTTTCAAATAGATTGAGGTCATTTTTCCCACAAGGAAATACAGGTTGGCAAACATATCCAAGGTCAAGTGATCCATCCTATTTAAAGTCTGTGGGTAAAATGCAAGGCCTGTGTGCCAAAACATGCTGCAGCAGGCGTTTGCACTGCGTGATGTTGCAATCACAGTGGTGCGTGATGAGACTGAAAAAGAATTGTAAACAGAACTTTCCAGAGCACATCTGATGCAACAGCATTGCCAGTAGGAGGCTTTACATAGTGAGGGTAAAGATCAGGGGTTCTTATCTCCAGTCCTGAAGGCCTACAGCCCTTCACAGTTTCAAATATTCCCTGCTCCAACACAACTGTTTCAGCTAATCACCCAGTTATCAAGATCAATTTGTGTTGAGGCAGGTAATACATGAAACTGTTCAGTGGATCTCTAGCACTAGAGCTGAGAGTCTTTGGTATAGATCATACAGAAAAAATCTTCAGTAACTTCAAAATTCAAATGAATATCACTATTCTTAAGTGAAAGGAGATAAGTAATGCCTAGTGATGCAAAACATAGTGAGGATAAAATACTCCAAAATGTGTGAGTCTTTGTTTTCTCTTTTAGTAGGAGATAATGACTTACCAACATATTTAGGGTAGAAGTATTCCTGAAATATAAAAGACAAATATCATTACATTCAAATGTATAATTGTATTCTCTATCATTTGCAATCAGACAAAAAATAATAAAAAGGAAAATAATAGTCCCCACAATTGTTTTTAGAGAAAGAAAATAATAGGCTAGTCAACCTCTGCTTTAATTCTAGTTGCCCAACGACATAAGGAAGATTTCTATATGTATGCACATGCAATACTAAGCAAAAGTCAGAGAACCTTCATTTATTTCCAGTCCAATCAGAATGCAACTGACAAAATCATGATAGTTGTGGGCAGCTTTCTGTGTAAAAGATTTCCTGAGGCCACGGCATCTGAGGCTGAAACTACCTTCAGATAAACAGTATGTAAAGCTTTCATCTCTGAGAGATGAAGAAAAACAAGCTCCACTCTTGCTTCAGATCTGAAAAAATCAACAGGTGTTTCTGTTCACCCTTCCACTGTGAGAAGACAACTGAACACTATGGGTCAGAAAGAATGTGTGGCTGTCAAGAAGCCCTTACTAAGTAAAGGAAATAGACAAAAAAGGAAGAGAATGAGCAAAAAAAGATGAAGGAAGAAAAAGAGACTGTGGGTGTTCTTAGGACAACTGACTGGTCACTCCAGAGTCCAGACCTCAACATCACTGAATGTGTTTGGATGACTTGGATCATGAGAAGAAGAAAATCCAACCAACTTCTAAGACTGAACTTTGAAGGTGTGGAAAAATATCCCTGCAGATTTCTTTGAAAAACTGAAGTAAAGTCTGAAAAGTCCTGAAAAGAACGGAAGCTGTAATAAAGGTAAATGGTGCACACACTAAATATTGAAAAATTTATATCATATTTAGTTGTTTATGCTTCTGAGTAATATTCTGTTAATATTTTTTTTTCCTGAGAATGAAAAAGTGTACTTATTTGGCCATTTTGACTGGAAATGAAATAAATGAATAGTGGTTTCTGACTTTTGTACATTTCTATATATCTGCCTTTGGTCCTCTATGGTTGCATTTCTGATGCTCCACAATCGACTGCCCACACATCTGGTCATGAAACTTAACAAAAATCAACAGCATGAAGCACGTCAGCAACTTGGAGAAGTCCATTGATCCGATCAGAGAGATAAAGAGAGCTTTACTGACATTGTGCCCACAGCAAATGTGCAGTCACTGACACTGAGCAGTGAAAAACTGCACTGCATACAGTATGTGTTTTCTGCTTTTTTCCAAATGCTGAAAAAATAATACCTTTTACTTAACAACCATTTTGACTGGAAATTAGATAAGCGAAGTATTTTAATTATATCTGAGGGACACTGCTATGGTTAAGAACACATAATAACAAATCTCTAATCAACACAACCAAAGACCAGCATCAGTCTCCTCATAGCAGTTACAAACCTCTCAGCAAGTCACTTACTGTCTCAGGGATATTCTCAAAGATCTCCCTTGCTTCCTCCTTACTGCACAATTCTTCAATGCACTCTCTCTCCAAGTTGCCCTTCTTGCTCTCTTCGAAAAGGGAGTTTGCTCGCCGATGCCGTGTTAGAAACTGGGATGCTTTGTTCTCTGTCAGAACTCAAACAATCACAGAAAAAGTTTTTTTGATAGGTGTTGTGCTTATCACAGCCAGAACATGGAGAAAATTGAATTAGAGAATTAAAGTTGACACATATTATCTATATGTTGCTTGCAAACTGCCATTTTGCAACAAGTGTATGTTAAAGCATTGTGTAGAACTGCGTTTCTTAGTCCTAGAGCCGGAGACCTGCACTGCGACACACCTGATTTGGTTTAAGAAGGACTCGGTCATCAGCTAACAATTCAAGATCTACCTTCAGGCCGAGTTTAGCTCCAGCCAAAACTCTGAAACCCCAGAAATACCTCATCTAGCTTATGGTGGCATAAGTGTATCTTACTTTTATGATAAAATATCTATAGTTGGTCAAACTTTTCTTTCCACACTTCATGTCTGAAAATGTTTCTGCAATGCCAGTCTTTTCTACAGAGCCACAACTTAACTACAAAAACGGATTCATCTTGGTCCCAGGCCTTACTAAGTTTTGGCCACGACTAATTTAGTTCCCACACCTTAGAAAGGTGTTGAATAAGTTGTGGCCATGCATTATTTTTAATTAGGAATGATGTCACCAGTGTGGCTCTGTGCCTTTCCAAACGTGCCCCAGTAGAGCAGTGGCCTCACTCATATAACCTTCCTACACAGATTTAGTCTTAAAATTATCATATGTGATAATTCATCACAAAGTGATTTATAAAAAGTGAATTTGGCGTGAAAAGGTGTGTAGATGAACAAGTTTCCAACCTGACATATGAAGAGCAATCTGGGTGCGCCGCAGGAATTAAGGGCACGCAACTCATGTACAATGTGCGTTTATAAATCAGTCACACGCAAACATTGTGAACTTACCTGAAGAACAAATTTAGACAGAAATGAGGCCCCTGGTTCCCACCCCTGGTCCTGGAGTACCCCCTGTCCTGCATGTTTGGGGCTTTCCCTGCTCTAACACGCCCACTTCTGCTAAGGGAGGGGCTCTTAATGAGCTGATTAGTGGGATGAGGTGTCTTGGAGCAGGAAAAACACTAAGACGTGCAGAACAGGTGTGGTAAAACACTGGAAACACTGCAGTAGAAGAGGCCTCAGTGCTGCAGGAGCAGCAGGACAGAAGGTGAATCAGTTTTAAAGGGCTGAATAAAAAAGTGCAGCTTGCACACAGGTTTAACCCGATTAAGGGCGTCCACTGTGGGTGCCAGCGGTTTGTAGGCAGGGATTTACTTCACCACGTGCTGGCGCCCGGTGAAAGCCCGAGCAGAGCTGCAGCCAACAGCGCAACTCAACAGGCAACACGGGCAAAACACGTAACCTACCCAAGGAGTTTTTGGCCGTTAATGTCGGATTTAACTGAGTGACCTAACCTACCAGCCCTGTACAATGAGAGCAGTGGAGCGCACTTTATTGATCTTTGGTCTACACAGCCCTGCCGAACAGTTTTACACTGACGCGGGACTCATTTTTAAATATTCACCACTCAGTGAGACAACAGCTCGATAGTAAACCGTTCTAACAAATAACAAATAACAGGCTCAAACGCGAACTAGACAGGCGACCAGCTGGGAGCAGCTTTACCCGCTGTCTGTAAACCTGACCGAACAGCAGTAACGTTACTTACAGTGGTGGGCATCGCACAGCGTCGCGGCTAGCAGGAGGCTGACCAGCGACGCCACTCTCTTTCTCCACATGGCCAAGCTTGTGAGGGTGTTTCGGATGTATTTCTGTGTCTGACCGCTGATTTGGGGCCCGTGGGAGAACTTTTTATTCTCCCTCAGAGGGGTTTTTCGCTGCTTCTGCGAGGAGGTGCTGGGAGAGCGCCAAAAAAGGCGAAGAGGAAATGCTGCCAGAGGGGGCGCTGTGGGCTCCTCACTGCCTCAAAACAAAGCAACGCTGCTTAGCCTGTATGCTAACACTGTTTATTTACATCGGTCTGATTTGGCGTGTTATATATTTATTTTATTTAATTTTTCAGTTTTTTTTATCTATTTATGTTACAATAAAATATTTTTGCAGTTTACCGATAAAAAAAAACTAACCCCTGCCAAAAAAAATAAATAAAAAAAATTCAGAAACCATTAAAAGTTTTGGTTGTGTTACTAATGGCATTCTGTGTTTTCCTGATTGGTGCTAAAGGTTTAGCTGGTGTTCTGGGCCTGGTTCCAAATACATTTGATGGTTTTCTTAATGAGATCTAAAGCTGCCCTACAGGAAACTAGTAGACTGTAATGGTAACCATTAAGCCAATTACCATTAGAAAGCAAAACCATCAGGTTTTAATCCTGTGCTTACACATTTTTACAATATATGTAGTTGCAGAGTTACAGACTGTAGTCCATCTGTTTCTCTGCATACTTTGTAGGACCTCCTTTACACGTTCATCAATGGTCAGGATCACCACAGAGCAGATATTTAGGTGGTGGATCATTCTCAGCACTGAAATGATTCTGACGTTGTGAAATGTTATGTATGTGTGTGTGCACGCTCAGTGTCAGTACTGGACTGAGAATAGTCCACCAACTAAAAATATATAGCATCCTGTGAGCAGAAACTGACCACTGAGGGTCTAGAGGATGACAAACACACTGCAGCTAGATACTCTAACTTGACAGTCTTTGCAAGGACCATCAAGGTAGGTGTGTCTAATAAGGTGGACAGTTAGTAAGTAAACCACAGCAACACTTGTTGCTGAGGTCAATGGATCCACATCAGTGTCACTGCAGTGCTGATGATCCACCACCCAAATAACACCTGCTCAGTGGTGGTCCTGACCATTTAAGAACAGGGTAAAGAAAGGCTAACAAAGTATGCAGAGAAACAGATGGACTACAGTCTGTAATTGTAGAACTAGAGAGTAAACCTATATGGTAAGTGGAGCTGATAAAATGGATATTGAGTGCAGATAAAAGGCAATAAAGTGGCCAGTGATATACAGTCATATATTCAACTTTAAATAGAAACACAATGAAAACACCAACACGGTTTCATTGCTATTGCCTTCATTTGGACAAAAAAAAACTTGTGCATCCATATTTTCATCACTCGTTCCACATTTGACCTGTACACATCACAGACTTGTAATAATACTCTTTATATACTTATATAAAATACACTGTTCTCCCTTTTTAAGGTTTTCACTTTGAAGAAAAACATTGATTCGAAGTTGGACTATGAGTTATCAATTATAATTTGTATCAGATATTGGTAAAATAACTGATCATAAAATTATTGCATTGTTTATACTGTGCGTCTGCAGAACGTACAGTTGAACTTTTGTAATCAAATAATTTTATCCACAAAATGTTATATTGTGATACAAAAATAAATACTGAACTTTTTGGAGTGGGTAGCAGAGGGTCATCTGGTTTCTATTCAAACCATATATTCACACTAAAACATGCATTACTGAATGAATTATAGTGAGGGAATCTGGGTCATCAATACAATTCAGAACCTCACACACAGAAAAACACTCATAATGTCACAAACGTATTCAATGAAATGCTGGGAGAACACTTGTGAAAATGGAGAACAAAAACATGAACATCCATGTTGAAAAGATGAGAATTCTTCAAGAGAAACTGGTCGTTGACACTTCACCGATTCCACTCGACCAACACAGTCACTCCTTCATACACGCTTGCTTAAGTTTTCAGTCATACACACAAACGCACACAAACAGGTTCTGAAACCTGTATCTCAAAGGGCAATAGTTCTCAGTACAAGACACAGATAGAAAATGCGTTACTTACAGTACATAAAATTCAACAAAAAGTACAAAACGACACAAATGTCTGGCATTGGTGTAACTGGCAGTCTGTTTTCTGTTTTCAGAAGGGTCGCTGTTGTCTAAGCCTTACAGACAATTCAGTTTAAGAAAGGAGCACAAAAATGTTTGGCTTTGAATTGGTCTCAAGTTTAAGGGGAACTCCACTGATTTTTAACATTTCTGCATTTTTTCAGAACATGTACAAAAAGTAATTCAGAGTAGTTTGATGTGAAATCCTCCGTTCTACAGAGTCAGAATTGTTCATAGTGGTGGTGATAGGATCCAGACATCTAAAGCATTTATTATCTCTAAATGCTCCCTCACAGAAAGCTATAACATAAAATGGTTATGACTGCATTGCCTGATGCCCAACACACGTTTAAACATGCCAACATTATATTTAAAAACTGAGACACATGAAGATTCACTGGTCATATTGGATAGTAAATGAAATGGTTTTATTTGCATTGCAGACATCACGACTCCTGGTTCCTATCACCACCACTGTAAAGAAATTTGAGTCAGTAAGTTTCTTTACAATGCAAACAATTCTGAATGACTCAGTTGACAACCAAATGAATTAAACTAAATATTTGGGGGGACAAAAACAGTGCAATTCTCCTACATTACCCACAATGCTATACTCCTTCAGTTGGTATTGTTTTTGGCTGACAGGTTACATGCTTGGGGATGTTAAGGAATGTTCACGAAAGGATGGATCAATACTGCAACACGTCTAAACAAGGGAAAGGTGCAGGCAAAAACAAAGAAAACACTTCTGATTCCACAAAATGGCAAAAAACTCCCATAATGACAATCAATCTGAATGAGCACATCTTAGACACTGTCATTATAAGGATAACAAAACAATGGTTACCGTTAACATCTGCTTCACACAGGTCCACTGAAACACAAATCCAATCCAGTCAACATCCCAATTCAGAACAATTAAGCCTCTACTCATTTTGACTTGGGCACTTTTTGAAGAGGGCTATTCTCTGGCTATACTTATATCACCTGGGCAAAAAGCATCAAATTTCATAACAGATGCTGCTTCACTGGAAACAGAAGAATGTGTACCCTTCAACCGAATCCCAAACTTATAGTCAGCAGGTTCCAAATGTCTCTGAACTGGAATTGGCTGCAAGGCTGTAATTAATAGGCATGCACCAATGAGTTTCTTGCTGCCATAAAAAAGGAAAAAATGAAAGCATTAGATTCACAGACCTACAGTTTGGTCCTGAAGATTAAGAAGGGACACAATAAAATACTCGAGACCAAAAACAAAGTCCCTCATTGGTGAATCTGTATTTTTTCCTTCGTTTTTTTCCATTTCTTTAAAAAAATTGCATTTCGATTTTTAAAACCTGCCATGAGGCAGAGCTACATCGTCAGGTCTGACGATTAAAGTGCATGGCCACTGACACAGAGTTCAGTGGAAAAGCTGTTGATTGGGTTTGTACATCATACAAAAAGGTATAGCTTTGTGTGAGACTCTTCCACGCGTAATCTCACTCTCGTTTCTCCATTTCATTCCCTCAATCACGACTGATTGTTCCTGTGACGTACGATCATTGCCGTGGTGTTCACTGCAGAGAAAAGGGCATCGTGGCAATGGGCAACGTGGTCAGATCGAGTAGGTGGAGCTCTCCGATTGTTGGCGGATGTAGCACTGGAAGCTCTTGTCACCGATTGGATGCTCCCTGTATAGACAAACAAATAAACAAATAGGTTAGTGTGTTTTAAAATCCTTGGCCAAAACCAAAACCAAAATTCAGGTCACACTGGGACGAAAACCGTATTAAAAAAAAGTTAAACAATAAATAAAAACAGTTTATATAGCATAAACTTACTAAATTTACTACAGTATGTAGGCTACAGAATGTACCAATGTCCTTGACATCAGAGAATGGCTGTTAACCCAAGGCAATGAATTCCTTTATTTTTTATTTCCTGCACTTTTGCCCTGTCATCGTGAATTTTTTATCATTTCAAAAATTCAGGCTACAGAAGTTGTTGGCATGCTAACAGGAACTTTCTGTTCTGTTTCTGTTTTGCTGTATTCTGCATATTATTCTGCCTATTGAGCGGGATGTTGTGTTTTCAAGTAGTATCAAACTTTTAGTGAAGTGCTTTGTTGTTGTACTCCCTCTTTATACTTGGCATAAACAGTTAGCACAAATCTCTTGTCTTGAATGCATCTGTAATGACTGCCACACAAGAGTGTAGGAAGCATTTTGTAACCAGCATTTTGAAATCACTGTTTATCACAGATCTTCTTAGTCCTAGATTTTGACATTTTGTTTTAGGACTATTCAATTTTTTTTCCTGGTCAAAATAAATAAATAGATTAAATAAATAAATAAATAAAAAAATATAAATAAAAGATCCCTAAAGTGCCATTTTTGGCTGAAAGTTTTCAGTGCATCTCTAATAAGATTATAAAACTGGGTCAGTGGTACTTCTCTTTTATGGAAGTTTAATTAGAAAGAAACCTTCATCCTGCATTTGAGCTGCTGGGAAGTCTAGTTCAAAGGTGCCAAAACTTTTGAAGCATCTGAGGTGGGCCAAGGGCCCAAAAGAGAAAACAGTATACAAATAAAAAAGGGTAGGTGGGCCGCAAATTGAGATTTCAACATGCTGTTTTATAACATTTTACTATAGAAACCACATAAATACGTTAGAGATAAACCACTTAAGCAAATATGTTTGACTTAACAACTCAAAGCAGTTTAAAGCATGTGTGTAATATTTTAGACACACCATTTGTACAATGACTACCTAAGCATATAAGCTTCTTTTACTTGTTAGCTGCATTAGCCTTATAGCTCCAGTGCAAAACTAAAGAAGCAAACTTTGAACACCAAACATGTTTTGGCTTATCGACCAGCCAGGAAATGATTTTTTGATTTTTTGCCAACATATTTCTTTAAAGAAGGGAAATCATTGAGCTGTGTAGTGTTACGGCCCTTCACAACTGAACGGAACACAAGGCCCGCATGTTCTAGACTGAGAACACACACATGGGTAACTTCCCAGGAAAGAGTCTGAAGTCATACTCACTGGCTACCATACTTGGTCTTCCTGAACTTGTCGCGCTTGTACTGCGCATGCTGCTGCTCCAGTGTCTGCACAGCCGAGACAATCTGCTTCAGGGTCTTGTAGGTCTCTTGTGGGTCATCTATGACAAATGTAGAGTACTCCTCCTGCTCGGGTCCGTCATAAACAGACTTACTGCCGCATGCCTCTGTGGTCAGGTATAGAGAAAGGTTACTGAAAACACACCACTCTAAAGCAGATAGTATGGATAATACCTTACACAACAGTACATACCTTGCATTTTAACTAGTTTGGACATGTAGGTGCTGAAGAGAGAGTAGATTCGCTCTGTTTCTCGATCACCGTCTATGTCCAGCTGGATGTTGGCAGGCAGGCCACTGCACAGACACAGAGACACCACAGTCTTCAGGCATCCGCACTTACTGCCTTAAATTACAGCTCTTGAATATGTGCAACTGTTGATACCACTTTCTTTCTAGCTATGATTTGCAATCTCTATTCAAATCTATATAAGATTCTTCTCAAAAACAGTATAATAAAATAACGTCACTAGCACTGCAGTGTAAACCATGTTTTGCTAAGTAATGTGTCTACTTACTTTAAATATCTAGTACTTCATATAACTTGTAGTTGAAGAGACATATTTTTTACTAAAATGTATCTTTTGAATGAAAAATCGTGTAATATAGGTTTGCTGCTGCAATGATGGTTTCCTTTGCAAATATGCTTATTAGGGATGCACCAATATGGGAATTGTGGGTCGACGATGATATCTGGTATTTTTCATCTGCCAGTGCCGATACACAACCTTTAAAATGCAGAAACTGGGACTAAATGCAGAAACTGGGACTAAATTCACTGGGATTAGCATGATGGAGAAAAAGAATATTTATTTATGCTGGGTTACAAATTAAGTAGAACGAAAAAATGCAGACATTTTAACATAGTAGACCAGTGTCACTGAAACACATTGCTCTTCTAGAGTACAATAAGTTACTTTATCAAATATCGGTACTGATATTATTCCGATATCATCATGCATTCATATGTCATATCATCATCATTAACCTGATGTTACTGAGTTGGAAAATGTGCACATGCAGGTCCTTTTACTCAAATGAAAGGATCTGATATGAGCAAAAAACTGAAACTGTGCAATAACAGTATGTGTCCACTTGCAACATCGTGCCTCTTCCTATTCACTTCTATGGAGAGCTGTGCGGCGAAAAAGTTCTGCACATCTGTACTTTATTCAAATCCGGTCACTGCACTGGGATTAGCCCATCGGGTAAGAGTAGATTGGTCTTCATCACGAATGGCAAAAACTCTCTAAATGTAGAGAGGGGAAACAAAGCTGTCTTTCTCTTCTTTAATCACTGAGTGTTCTGGATAAAAATGAAAAATCCTAATTTCATACCCATCTGTTAGTGAAGATTTGAAGGAAACGTTTAATTAGATGACGTTTACATGGTTTAAGTGGAAAGGCTTTCAATTTGCTTCTGATTGAGGGAGCTAACTTGCATGTTTGTCCAAGTTACCACATGGCTCCTCTTCTTTTCTTTAACTACCGTAACAGACATGGCATAGAAGCTCCCACCAGCGGTGAGCAGAGATTCAGTACGGTGGATGGATACAGCAAAAAGTGCAAGGCTTGTCATGTTAACGAAAGGAAAAGCACACAAAAACCAGTGAACACAAGAGAGCATTAGGCAGTAGCGTGGACTCACCCAGTGCAGGGCGTACAGCCGGGGGCCGAGTCGATGGACTGCTTGCAGCACAGCCAGTGGCCGTTGAGGTAGGCAGAGGGATGGTACTTGCTCAGGCGCTTGCGGTTGCACTGGCTGACCTTGGTGAGGATATCGATCCAGTCGCGCGCCTCCACGCAGTTATTGGCCTGGATGTAGAGAGCTCTCTCTGGCTGGATGACCTGAAACATCTGTAGAGCAAAGATGGACAGGGAGCCAAAAGATTACAAACAAAATGTCAATATTCTAGTTGTTTTTATACCTGTGTTTTAGTAATGTTGATATTTACATATTGCTATTGATCTTGATATTTTGGCACTACTTGTATCACTGTCAGAAGACAATAACATATATATGTACATGTATTTAATTTTCCACAATTTGAAAATGTCAGCTGCTTGTGTCAAAACTTTAGTAGAAGTGGTCCAAAATGACAAAGTAAAATCTTGTTACCTGAACTTACAATCAAAGTTGACTGTGAACTTACAATAATGTGATGGATGTTGACTGAATGATAACTTCTGAATTGTTTGGATTGTCATGAAAACCCTCATCCTGCCTCCACACCGAGCTCCACCCTGCCTACCTAATGATTTTCACCTGCGTCTTGTTTATTTAAACCTGCGTAAACATAGGCTGTGACCACATCCACATGCTTCTAGACTATACAAACTATTCTAATTCTAATAGACTTCTTACGGTGGCGTACTAGTTTTGACATACTAATTAGTGTGGCAGTATGTGGTTTGGGACGCAGCAGTACTCTCTGGTCTATGTTTTTGTTTGCTAGGTCATATGTGCATTTTGTGCTAGTGTTTTTTCTGTAAATATTTATTTCCTAGTATATTTTTTTCCTCTGTGTTTTTCTGTTTCCTTTTTTTATCACAGGAGTGTAATTATGTTAATATGGAGTAGCCCTGTATATGAAAAATTTGCCTGTGCTCACAACTGATGACTGGGATTACTAAAGAGACTATTACTAAACTTTGCATATATATCCACCGGCCACTTTTTTGTAACACAGATTAAGAAAACACAAAAACCCACTGTTTATTGGTTCTAAGGCAAGTTTCTGGCCATTGTTTTAAAGCTGTTTATAGTGTATGTTAATGTGCAGTGTCTTACAGAGCAGCACGGTTTAATTAGTTTTCTGAAGTTAATGTACGTTTGTGGCATTTGGACTTACGTTCTTCATCTTGAAAGACTCCTCCTCTAATCTCTCCACAGCCAGAATATTCTCAATAGGGATTCTACACAGAGCACCTTCACCTATACACAAAAGCACAGCACAACATTACAGATGATTCAGATGAGAGACAGTCCACACAAACACAGTAAATACCTCCAAATGGGACAAATATGGTAGATTTCCAATTCTATAGTAGCCTGGGAACTACTAAACCTTGAAAACGTAATAGCATGCATTCACAAAAATGAAGAATATAACGTGGCTATCATAATAAAACTTGTTTTATATTTATACTCCATTTGAAAATGGCACCTGCTGCTTTACATTGTGTGAACTGTTAAAAAAGGAAATCATTTTTATAGAGATACAAGATTTTCTTAGGACAGCAAAGACAACTCAGATTATCTATGCAGTTCAAGGGAACTGCATTTCATATTAGCCTTAGCATTAATATCAAATTCTTCCAGGCATTCCAGAACATATATGTCATGTAGCTTGACTCCCCACTACAATGGTCTGTCTCACAAAGCAGAATTGATGGCTTAGACAGCTAACTTTAAGCTTCGTGATCTCCTGTCTCAGGACAAAGGATGGCCTTTTACTAGGCTACCTTGGCAACTGCTGCATGGCAGGTTAAGTCTGTGATTGGACTGATCAGGGCGGAGCTACTGACCAATTAATGACAGCCTTGTGATGGAGGTGGACCCCTTCAGTCCTTTTCGGGGTATATATTTTTTCCTTTATGACCTTTGTGGAGTCAATCATGTGAGAAATATCCCCCTTTTAGGAGAGAAGCAAATCATGCTGCATAGATATTAAGAATATAACTCAATTATGACTCCAGTAAGCACTAACACAGTGCCAGTGGCGACAGCATAAATATCACACTTTCATGTGCATTTATGAAGTATTAATTTTAGTTTGAGAATCTAAACCTGGAATAACAGAAAAAGCTGTTAACCACCTTCATAGGATGAATTGACTGTGATTGTATTTGTTAGGTTTTGTGAAGCTGGACCCCTGTCTAAGTTAAATGTTCTTCATAAGACAGACCCCTGCTATGTAGTGTGAAATCAATTGGCAAGAAATGCACACAAACACACACACATCACCATGTGCAAACCATGTACAAACCTCACTATATGCAGCCACATATATTTCCAACATTTGGCAACACCATAAAAATACAAGACAGACAAGGACTGAGTTACCTAACACAGAGTAAAAGCTCCAGACAAACCTTTTGAGTTACCTTTGGTTTTGTGGTAGGTGAACTCGTGGTTGGTGAGACGGAACCACCTCTTCTTAAAGTTTTTCATGCCAAAGCGATTCCTCCCTTGCGCTCTTTTGATCATAAATCTAAGGGAGGCCAGAGTTGTGAAGAAGAGGTAGGACAGAGAGAGATGGAGAGGAACATGGGTTAGGAGTAAAAGACTTTGAGGACATTAAGAAATCTCACTGTAAAGGCCCTCCTGGAGTTCACTAGTAGAAGTACACTGCCTGTCAAAAGTTTGGGGACACCTTGCTTTCAAAAACTTCTGAACAATGTTTGCTTTCACAGTTACTTTTTGATTATGCAAGACAAAATACCTGTACAGTTTTTTATTTTTAATAAAAAAGCTGTTGACTAATACTCTGGACACTGAGCTTCATGTTCATCAGTATGTCTTCCTTTGTATGAAGAGCAGGTTCTGTCTAAATACTGAATTCACACTTTTCTTTTTGAAACTACTGTTAAAAGCACATACTGATCACTTTCCCTACCAATGCGTTTTTTTTAACATACTGTGGTTTATACTTCCGAATACATACTTTTTGGTTCATATTTGTAAGTACAAAGTCAAAAGATGTAAATCTGAAGTGCACATATATATTGGAATGTGCTTTTTCTTTTCAATATTGTTGATAAATTATATTTTGATGGAAATGTACGTGATTTATAAAACCAGAAGTGAACTGGATTTTTATCTTCATAGGTGAGCAAGCTCATCAAGTGATTTATTGTTTGTAAATGCTTTTTTATTGTGGCAGCTGTACATGATTTTATGATCTGAAGAAAGCTGCAGTTGCTGTGCTGTATGTTTTATCTCTGCTGTCTGTGGAGGGGGGGTGAACTGTTTTCACAGCAGTTCCCAATCCTTCTCTTTCAAAAAGATTAATTTTGCTTTCAGATTGACCTTAAATTAAAAACATTTGAATAGCTAGTGTCCCCAAACCTGGCAAAAAAACACTACATAAGCACATACTCTTAATTTTATATCATTAATGGCTTTAATTTTTACCAATAAATCTAAGTTATCACTTTTCTTAACTCTTACACTGAGTTCCCTATTCAACATCTTCTTTTGGTTCAAATGCAGTGCCAACAAAAATACCACAGATTCATGTAAATGGGTGTGAGAATTCAGCCACACTGACCACCATTCTGCAGTGCACTTGATATTTTGACTAAACCATTACAACCAAACACTGCCACAGACTTCATTCTAAGAGGCTTGTAGAATGTGTCTATGAATGGCCCATGCTATGCCGTGCGAGAGAGTCTCTATGGCAAGCAAAGGGAGGAGGGGCTGTTGAGGAAAACTGAGAAGCCACAACACAATACGAAAGAACAAAGGCAGCAAATTTTGTAGGCATTAGTTTTAGCATGCTATTTGCTTTGTCTTGTATTGCATTTTGTTTTCTATTATTTTCACGTAGCAGGGGAGTGGAAAGGGCTGGGAGTTTATGTTATGGGACACATCTGGGTCAAGAGGTCACAGGTTCGTCCAGTCAGGTGTGGCTTACCTGCAGGAACCCTTTCCATCAACCCTCTTAATATTGAGTTTAACGCTCCTGCGCCCAGCAGAGAAATACAAGAAAAAGACACCTGAATGTGTCCCTTTAGGCACACAGGTTACAGAAACACACATTTACCCCTCCAAGGGTCCTGCTGTTCAATGGCACAGGTTACTACAGTAGTCTGTCAGTGCCTCAAAGGTCTACTATTCTTTCAAAATGATTTTCATTCAGTACCAGGAATACTGTTTAAAGAAAGAATTAGTGATTCAATATTTAAAACAAGATTACAATATTCAACAAAGGAATCATTCAAAAAATCAAATTTGCTCAATTTTCCTCTACCCTAAATGCAGATCGATCAATCGAAACATGATTGGTGTCTGTAGTTTGCCTCTTCAATTTTGCACTGGAACTATAAAGTTAGTGTAGCTAACAAGTAATGAAAGATTTAACACTGCAAACTGCACCTAAATCAGACACACTGTCTTGTGGCTTAAATGGGGACTTCAATTTGAAAAAGGTTCTTCATAGTTTATTCATTAAGATTAAGATAATTAAACAAACTGTTTTGATTTTAAATAATTCTTACTGAGTTGTTTGCAAAGTTGTGTAAAATGCTGATGAGAAAAAATGTGCAAAATGGTGGTGATAGGAACCAGATGTCCATTGTCTCTAAAACCGTACATGAAACGGTTAGAATACAGTGCCTGATGCCTAAGACTAAGTTTCATGATCATTTTGAGAAGGTCTAAACCATATTTTAAAAATTCTTTCATGGTGGAGAGGTACACGCAGACTGTTGTAATGCAAAATAGTCACCAAAGAAAACATTTTTTAGATTTATCACTATCTTATCAACATTGGCTATAAAAACTCACATAATGTAGATTCACTGGTTATTTTGGATAGTTAAAGATAAAACAGCTATTTTTGAGTTGTTTTCATTGCGACTCCTTGTTCCTATCACCACTACTATAAAGAAAATCTGAGTTGGTAAGTTCCTCTGCAACTCATACATCAAACCACTCTGAATGACATCTCAATGATTGAATGATGCAGAAATGAGAACAATCAGTGAAATTCCCCCTTTAGTGCAAAACTAAACCAGCAGACTTTGGACATCAAACATGTCCTGGCTAATCAACTACATTTTGAGAAAATTGTCCAAATTTGATTATAGGCTTATCAAGACTGCACTGTGTTAGTATATACTGCTTACCCTTCCTTCAACATGATCGGTGTCTCAATGCTCTTCTGGTCCCACCTCCCAGAGGATGAAATCAGGTCCAGAAACTGTGTGCACAAATCCAACCATTAGGCTTCTCACAAGAGTTTCAGCTGCATGGACATCATTCATTAATTTATGAATAAAACTGTACTTTTTATTGTACTTTTTTACAACAGACATTGCAGAACCTGTAAAGCAACTTTAAGACTAGACGAGAAAGACCTGGAGACAAAACTTTCAAAAGAGGAATTGTGTAAAATCTGTATGTGAGAAACAAAAAAGTTTCCTCATTCAGCGATGTGTAGGAGTAACTCACGTTTTTCACAGCATCTGCATACTTCTGCTCGTTGAAGTAGTCGTAAAATGCAGCCATGTAAGACTCTTTAAAGTTGGCCTGGAGAACAGGGATGAAAAAGTTAAGGTCGCTATCACAATGTGGCCAATGTGCTCAGGAGCTTCTGAGCTCAAAGAATTGGTCAAAAATTGTCAAGGTATTTTGCGCACACTGACGTTTCAATAACACCAGCAATGACTGGAGAAAAACTGAATAAATTTACTTACTGATTTGGACTTCGCAAGACTTCCGAGCGTTTGGATAGTTTTGGAGATGAGTGTGAGGGTCCTTGATGTGCAAGGATCCTTTTGAACAAAAGAGGAGAGAAATGTTCATGAACAAAGACACACACACAAAGGCACCTAAGACACCTATTTCACACACTGGTAAGAACTGCAAGCTAGCATTAGCATAATCGATTCAGTCTATCCAGTCTGAACAATCTATCTCCATCTATCACTGTGAGCCAAGCTTGTCTGAGAAAAGATGAAGAAGCAGGGCACACAGTCAGAGTTGCACACTAAGCCGTTACGTTGAGCACAAACTCACCGGATGGTGCGGTCTAAGCTGAAAAAGGTTTGGTGATAGGATCGCTGGGGCGAAGAAACGCAGAAAAATAAAACTACTGACTGCTGTGTACCTCACGTCCTGGTCCACTGTAAACATACATAGATATTGTTATTATCTCTTCATCATCATCCTCATCATTATCATTACAAAAAAAGAGAGACATATGACAGTGATATGATACAGAAGGGTTTTCGTTGTCTTTCAATTGAGAATTTGTCAAACATATTATTGAATTAGTGAATGAATCATTAGCCACATTCTTACAATCTAGCAATACATCACTTCACAAATCATCCCATTAAGCTCTCCATGTTAGGGTATAAATTCACTAGAATGTCCAGCAGGTGGTGTTGTGTGCATTACAAATCCAGTGTGAGTTTACACTGTGTGCATTTCTTCCAAATACCAGAGCTAGTAAACAAGAGGCAAAAGTGAATAAGGATACAAGAGGAAATGCGTAATGACAAAAAGATGAAGGAGGTGGCAGCTGAAGCCCTTAATGTGAAATCTCTTCCTGAGAAATTTCTTATGAACAGATCACAGGCTGTTCAAATGAATGACTCTGTAAAGACTTCTCACTTTCAAGATAATCCAGGACCAAACAGGCTGCTAAACAGTACCTCTTCCAATGGAAACAGCATAACTTTTATTGGGATCGGTCAGGGAATTCCACTGATTCTTCAAAATTTCTTCAGAATTAAATTGTTATGATGTGAACAATCATTCTGAGTGGTTTGGGGAGCAATGCTCCGTTCTACAGAAACTCAACAAATCAGAATACATCAGTGGTGGTGATAAAAATCAGACATGAGAAGCATTTAATGCCTCTAAAAGCTTCCTCACAGAAAGCTATTAAATTAAATGGCTATACGGTACCTGATGTCAAACGTTGTTTAATGATAAAATTTTGGCCTCAAATCTTTTATTTCAAATGAATCTTTTAGGAATCAAGTCACGGCGGAGAGGTACATGCTGGGCGCTACAAGGCAAAATAGTCCCCAAAGACACTTAGAATTAACCATCATCAACAATAGATATAAAAACATCAAAAATAAAATAGTTATATTTGTCTTGTAGACAATGTGATCCCTGGTTCCCATCACCACCACTGTAAAGAAATCTTTGAGTTGCTAAGTTTCTCTACAGTGCACCATCTCACAACAAAGCACTCTATTTTAGCGTAAAAAATTAAAAATACCCTTTTTGTAGAGGAAATATACTACATAGATATCAAAAACACACAACATTTGTTGAAAGACCAACATGGAGGAGACAAGGTTGCGTTTTACCATTATAAATGTTTTACTTTCTACATATTCTATATTATTTTCTTTTTTTTTTAAAAAGGAGGGTTAGAACAGAGAAAGTTGTTAACTGCCGTCATATATGTAGTTAACCATGTCTAACATGAACCTGTTGCAAGTTGTGTGAAGCTGAAACTTGCTGAATATGTTTCATGAGACAGACCCCAGATAATCAACAAGATTTCCAAAAGGAAACTGACTATTAATTAGTTTTTTATGTATTTTGAACTGTTCTTTTAAAACAATCTGAGGCATCCAGTAAACGACATGCATAACAGTTAAATAGGTCTAGTTATCTATTGATACTGATCAGTATTGCTGTGACGATCTATTGCTCAGCACTAGGTGGAAGTGTAAACTGGACTCAGCACCTAATGAATGCAAATGGTTATTTTATGCTTTGGCGCATTCAGCTGTCGATCTCAAGGTCACGGTGTGCATCTGCACGTGTGTGAGCGGTGGTTACCTTGGAAACGGCTGGCGGCGGACTCTCGGAGGGAGAAGAAGATGTCGCACATGACGGTGGGGCATCTGACGCCAGAGGTGGTGATGACGTTGAAGATGCGATCCACGTACTGCCGCAAGTTTTCCTGAGGACACAGGAAGGGAGGTACATAAACACACATCACACACGCGCACACACACAGGCACGTGCGGCTGGAACATTCCTGCAGGGCATTGTTTGTGTCGACGGAAATGAATGCAGACGAATGGGCAAACATTCTGCATGTAGAAATGCCCTTTTAGATGAAAAGTCTAGTACCGCTAGCATACACATAACAGCATTTGTTTTTGTAAACAAGCATGTTCATAACACACACTCAGACAGGCTGTGAGAGAGCAGTGTGACTCACCCTGTTAGTTTCCAGATTCTCTGATTCCTTCAGTTTAACTGGGTCGATTTCACACGACTTGTGTTCAGTGCAGATCTACACACACACACACACACAGAGAAAGTTTGCATTATTCTTTAATAATAGGTCAGTAATAGGCCCTGTTACCCTTTGGATTCGTGTTAAAATTTCATAATAGAGCAATAGAACTGGTCCAAAATGACTTGGAAATGGAAATATCTTTTTTTCCTCCTGTAAAGTTACCATTTGGAGATATAAGGTTTTGTTCTGAAGGTTTTGTCAATGTGTTTGTTTAACCATTTCCAAACCTCTCCTTGAGAAGGTCCAATACCTTATAGTTATCATCCAATGGCTGCTTTGGTAAATTAGTACTTCATTAAATTAAATCAGCGCTGGTGGTAAAATTTGACAAATCCATGTCACGGCTGGAGGCATCGAGGAGACATCTGGAACCAAACCTGTTCTTCTAACTAGCTCAAAAGATATCAACTACTTTTTAAAAATGAGAAATTCCTTCTTATTCTAATATTCTAATATTTCATGGTATTTTTACAAGCTAAAAACACTTACTGTCCCAAAAAAAACATTTTCAAACAACAGTTTTCTTAGAACAATAGGTGTTTTTACAAGCTAAATCTTATACAAATAATGCTATTTATACCATATGTTGTTTGCCATTGTTTATACCGCTTTGTCTCATACTGCTCAGTACATGTATTGTTTTCTACTCTTTATATTGTTCTCTTTACTACTTTATTTGTACATTGCACAGCATTGTTGACATTGCACACACAAGTGTATTTTGTATAGATCTTTTAAAAATATATTAACATTTTCTGTATTGGTGACACTTTATTTTGAGTGGTCCTTTTAGATAAAACAAACACTCAACAGATTCTCAGTATCATGTCAAACATATGAGGGTTAGGATTAGGTTTTGGGTTGAGGTTAAGGTTAGGGTTAGGATTAGGGCCAGGGTTAGGGTTAGGTTTTTAGGATATTTACCACAATGTAAATATTCTGTTCGGTTCTATTCTACATATACGTCTAAAAAGGGAGAGAGGGATATACAGAGAGAAAGAGAGAGAGAAAGAGACTCACCTCATCAATAATAGGTTTGAGAGTGACCTGTAGATAGTGCATTCCTGCTAGCTTCATGGTCTCGTCGATGCATTTCGACGTTAGTGAATTGCCTCGGAATATCGTATTGGGGTCCCTGAGGGGAAAGAGAAACCCACTGAGTTTGCATTGCTGTAAACATGTGTCTGTCAACTTCAGCGTTAATAATGCATCACTGAAACCCAAGGATTAATCCTCACAAACAGAACACTAACACCACCTCAGCTAGCCTCGAAAATACAGTATTACAGGAACCGGACTGTGTGTAAATGCCACCATGTGAATACTGAGTGATATGATAATTAAATACTGTCTGCTGAAGGCTAATTAAGGCTTACTGGGACCCTGGTGTGACCCCAGCCAGTTGAACTGCAGTGTGGGTGCACATTGTTTTAACTGTTTTCATTCAATGTTATCTAGATTTAGTCTAGACTTAATATTGTTGTCTTCATCTACTATTACAATAAAATTACACAATTATCTTCAATTACATTTACATTCAATTTACATTCTGTATCGACTCTGAGTCTGTATTCCTGAGTTTTTTTCATTCGTTTGTCAAAAAATGACAAAAATATATCAAAAATGTGAAAGGATATTTTTTCTTTCAAGAAAACAAGACTATACACACAAAAACTTTTCACAAATTGAAATCACAATACAGTATCTCTTCTTCTACCTACAAACACTAGTGTAGTATTCATTAAAAGTAGTGTTGTGGTACTTAAGTCTGACATTTAGCATAAAATTGTTGTTACGGGGACATTTTGCCAAACCTCAAGAAGTTTTAAAATTTCTTTCACAATATGTTTTTTTTTTTATTTTAAGAGACGAAAGTGTCTAAAGATTTGGGGCTATTGCAGTTTTCAGTTTTTAAGTAAAAATTATGAGTAAAATAAAAAAACTGGATAGTTCCACCCCCAGTGGTACGACATTCATATTATTTAAGACTGAGTTTCTGCTGTTTATTTGAATTTAAGTGTGACAAATGAGAAACATGAGAACACAGCTATTGGAGTAGAAAATAAAAATATAAATCTGAAATATAAATAAAATATTATATCAGTTGATATTTTCAGTTATCTGAATGTTTAGTCCTTTAAAATAAGTATTGGTATCAGCCACAAACTTTTTATGTCAGTCTGGCTCTAGCCATAACACATAGTTCTGTGTAAAACCCCCATACAGACAGTAATGCGTGACTGTGCATGCATGTGTGGGAACTCACTGTGTGCGGTTTATCTCTGCATGGGCGATTGCACTGACGAAAGGCACGATTTTGCCATAGTGCAGAAAGAGGCGCACCAGCGGGACGGCTGCCTCCTGCTTCTCCCGACACACCTCTCCTAGGATGTGGGCTGCTGACGCCGAGACAGGCTACAACAGAACACACTTGTCACAAACATCTCCTATGAGACTTACAACTCAACTTAGAAGCCAGTTATGCATGTGTTACCAAAGTTTTATGAAGATTTAGTTAAAATGTGCACACGTTTTCCGTTACCACAAGATAATCAGATAATCACAAGAATATCAGATAATTACAATTTTATTCAAGAAAAGAACATGTGAAGTTCAATTTTATCTCTCTTATGGACAGTCCCTTTAATCTTATAGGAGCAAGTAAATTTAATATTTTTTCCAGAATATTCTTTAAGTGTTTTTTATCAATGAAATGAGTTACAATACAAGCTGAGGCATCACATACAGTGAAATCATGACAAACACAAAAACACATATTTGTGCACACTTTCACACACAGACTCACCTCCACTTGTGCGGACTGCAGCAGCAGGTCAGTGAGGGGGCTGTAGCGCTCTGAGGGGAAGACATGGTCTTCTGTGTAAACGATGTTAAGTCTTAAAGAGCCCAGCTCGTCAGCCTTCACCGACTTATTACCGTTTTCCCTTGGCTGCAGGAAGTACCTGACAGAGAGCATGCAGAAGAGAGAGAGGGAGAGAGAGAAAGAGAGAAAGACAGACAGAGAACAGTAGTTTAAATACTTATCACTGACAACAGCAGTCTAACTACATAACTTACATACTAGTTTTATAGCAGTTACCTAATCATTCACAGAACTCAACGAATAATAAGCCCTAAAACAAATAATTGAACAATAACCTAATTTAGAAGAGTTTTCTTTTTTTTAGTCGACTATTTTACTCATTTTCAAATAAAGGGAAAACAAACTATTGGCATTTTCCACCTGGTGGTATGGTACGTTATAGTACATTTACAAATCCGAACTCAGAACTATCGGTACGGTATGCACATCTAGCACTAACAGTAAACACAAGTAACAGAAGCCCTGATTTACCTTTACTCTGTATTCGGTTTTCTTTGAGAGTCAAAAGCAGTGATTCTGAATAGCTAGTGACTCCAGTGACACCACAGGACAATTCTGTGACAACTGTGTTTGACCAATCAATGTTTTTTTACCAGCATGGGTTGGGGTCACCTGGCAGTCGAAATGATGGCAAAACGCATGATCATGATGTTTTTTTTTACTGAATTTGAAAAAGTCAGCTGCCCTTCACAATATGTTAAAATGTCATGATGAAAGGACCAATAGTAATGCTCCAAAATTACTAGGAAAAAATCCTGCTCCATTAACTTCCATTTCTTCTCACATGAAATTTCCCTTTTGAAGGTTTTGTTCCTACCCTGATGATATACTGAGACCTTTTTATCTGCTGGAAACTACTTTTTAGGGGGGCTTTCCAAAAAGAAGATAAGAAAATCAGAAGTTCATTCAGATGATGAAAAACACACATTCAATCAGATGTGTCAAAGCTTTTGACTGGTAGTGTAATTATACAACTTTAAGGAGGACAGCAAAATAACAATAACATGTCAATGAGGATTGGTATTATACATAAATATGTATGTTTACCATGCATCATGAACGCCCGCCTGACCCAAAACCTTCAGTGGCACCCGTACACCTCCTAAAAACTCGTCCCCAAACTTCAGATTACTGGCATTCCAGAGGTCCACCCTGAGAGATAAAACAAACATGTTAGACTTAACACACATATACACACACAAGCTCTGCTAGTGCTAAAGAGTCTGCGACCAGTTGAATCCAAGAGTACATAACGTTACTGACAAAAAGCACGACACACATTATCAGGATCTCTCCTCCTGGATATGTTTGTGTTTTCTTTTTTGTTGAGATATGCTTTGACCTCACGACATCTGAGTTAAAGCACACTGCAGTAGAGTTCTGCACACACGTGCACACACATACCTGAGAGCTAGCTTGTCCACATCCTCCTCCTCCACGTCAAACTGTCGTTTGGTGTAGCTGAGTGGTCTGGTGATCTGTAAGGTGAGAAAATAACAAATACAAACAAAATAAGTTAAAATTATACAAAATAATATTATTCTATACTTATGAAAAAGCTAAAATGACAAACACAGAACACTACTAGTCAAAATAGCAGCACTGAGCAATATACTGTCTACACTATTATGTCGGTATCAGTTTAAAAGTGTAACAACAACTGCCTGGTTTTAGCATCACCAATACATTACAAAAACTATGTAGTTAAATTATATAACTTGTTTAAAATATGTGCTCTGGGATTTCAATTGTTTTTAAACAGCTGTAAATACATGAAAAGTAAATAATAAGTAAGAAAACAAAAAGTTTCCTTTAGTGAATGTGGTTTCTTTCTGATTAATGTGAACAATCCTGTGTTCGCCTTTAGTGTAATTTAAATAGAAGCAGAACACAACAAAACCAGTCCAATCAAAAAAAGCTATCTCAGATTTGTAGGACACTCTTCTAGTAAAGAGTACCAGCACTCATGGGTTCAATCATTTTATTAATGCAAGCTTAAATATCATTAAACATCATGCTATCTTTGATAAATAATGCAACATTTAATTTTTTCAGTACTGGGCAGAGCAAAGTAAACACACATTAACCTCATTGTTCTACATTCTAAGATTCCTCCTCAGGCTTTTATGTTTGACTAAAAATAACAACCAGTGCTTTATTTGTTTAAATGTAGACCCAGTATTTGTTTTGCCGTCCAGGTCAAGTTTTCCACACGTGACTCCTGCTGTGCCCTTGCCGGGCACGGAGGCTTATCGTAGGTACAGAGAAACTGGTCGAGCCAGACAGGCACATTTAACTGAAGGATTAGAGGAAGAAGAGAGTGTGGTTTGGCCGTGAACGCTTTAGGAAGTGTGCGGTTGAATGAACACGCACCGGAGCCATGGAGCAGAACGCAAGACACCTGTTCACTTAACAAAAAAACAAAATCTTCAGCATAATCTGCATTAGCAGAAAGACACCTCACAACTAGGAGGTACTGAAGTTCCTTCGCACTGCGCATTTTATTGTCTCTACTGTTCTAATAAACTAATATGCCATGAGGGGCCATGCATTACTGTGATTCTAGCTTGGGTAAGTGGGGGTTCTTAAGTATGTCATGAAGCAGAGCTGAAGCCTAAAATCCCCTTACCTGTGATAAAATCATTGTACCATACAGTTTTAGTGGTGGTTTAAACACATATATAAAACAAAGACAACACAAACGATTATAAAATACACAAATTTTCAATAAATAAAGTTAAAATTAATAATAATCTTCCACCCAGAAACGTAGTTTGGAGCATGCTTTTGTTGGTAAGCACCTATGGACTGCTGAAGCAGGGACAAGTTCTTACAGTTGACAGGGGCAGATCTAGCAGGGCAGAAATTTCACAGACTTGTGACAAAGGTGGTATCCTATGACAGTGCCACATTTAAGGTCACTGAGCTCTTCAGTACGACCCATTCGACTGCCAGTGTTCATCTATGGAGACTGAATGGATATGTGCTTGATTTTATACATCTGTTTTAGAAGGGGTATCCACATACCTCAGTCCGTTTACTGTATATTATCCTCATAGCTCCAGTCCAAAACTAAAAAGGCAAAGTTTGTCATGGCTGATTGTCTATATTTAGGGTAAGGGAACTGTTCCTTCAAAGAGCTGGAGTTGAGTCAGGTGAGTCAGAGCACTAAAATGTCAATGCAGGGCTACTGGAGGAGCAGTGTTGGGAGCAGTTTTCCCTGAAAAACACAACACAATCGCTGCTGAAAAGCAAGGTTTCTACAGCTATTTGAGTGCATGGCTGTGGCTGGACCACGAAGAGGGAAGTGTTCGACTTCCCTTCATCGAGCTGCTAGTCGCTGCTGTCATTACTAGGTGTTGTTTTTTTCAATGGAGAAGGATAAATTTAACAAATGACTCATGGGTGAGTGAGAGACTAACAATGGTGGAAACTCCAGAGATGTCTGGGTTTCTGAGCGAATGTTTCTGAGTGAATGTAGTGCCGTTAAAAAAACCAATACAAGTTTCAATGTTATTGTGCAGGTAAAGCTGTTCACTGCTTGCTAACTGAATTTTTTCTTGCTATTCATAGTGAGAACGAGCACTATTTATAGCCTAGCCTGCAGCAGGTGAACAGACTCACAATTAGCATTAGCACACAATTAGCATTTCTCAAACCACAATTAGAAATTTATGGCATGGTCTGCACTCAAAAATGTATTAGTCTTGTTGTACAAGGCATGTATACACTTATTCTTACCCCTATTTGTAAAGCTTTTATCAGCTCCGCTTTCCAAATTAAGCGGCCATCAAACTTGCATCTGTTATGGTGGATGGTAACCTTTGTTACCATGCAAGCAGGTAACCGCACTTAGCCAAGCAGCTAACATTACCGTTTTACACTGTACTGCGCCAAAGTCAGATATCACCATTCTATATTTAATTTCCACTCACAATGGTTAAGTACAAGACTTTATTTTTGGCATCAGGAAGAAAAGAAATCATACATTTAAGAGAAAATTACACAGAAGCCTCAATAATTAAATTATATATGAAATGTTTCAAAAACATTACTTTATTATAGCTTCCATTCTTTTTCAATTTTTCAAAGGAATCTACACGGGTATTTTTCCACACCTCCGAAGTTCAGTCTTATTAGTTTGCTGCATTTTCTAATTCTCAAGATCCACATAATCCCAAACACACTCAGTGATGTTGAGGTCTGGACTCTGAGGTGGTCAGTTCATTGTTCTGAGAACATCAGCAGCTTCTTTGTTCGATTTCTTTGTTCGCATCCTTTCAGGCCCACAGCGCTGTGTTCTCACAGTGGAAAGATGGACAGAAACACCTGTGGATGTTTTTAAACCTGGAACAAGAGTGGAGCTTTATTTTTTCCTATCTTTCAGAAAGCACTGTTTATCTGATTGTGACCGTTTTGGTGGTCTACCAGGTCCTGTTTTATTTTCTCTGTGTCTTTTAATTATTTTTTGAACTCCAGTTTTGAGAACTCTGGTTTTTTTTTTAAATTTATTTTTCTTTGACTTTCCTTTACCTTATGCCAGTGGATTGTCTTATATCTAATCTCCTCAGAAGCATCTGCTGGAAAATAAATAACATGTACTTAACAGCTGTTTTGATTTGATTGTTTGCAAAGTTGTTTCATTTATTTATGGTCAGCAATGCTTCGTTCTACTGTTTGTAAGTTCATGCAGAGAATTAAGGGGGGAGGTTTGAAGAAACTGATCTAGCATGCTTAAGTCAGGTCAACAGGAAGGGGTTCAGAGCTCAAACAGGTTGAGGACCACTGGTTTAAGAAAAGTACAGGAAAATGCATTTTAATTATAAGATTGAAAGGTAACTAGTGGGCCAATCATATAGAGCCAAGAGATGTCCAATCTTATCCGCAAAGGGCCGGTGTGGGTGCAGGTTTTCGTTCCAAACAAGAAGTGTGCTCTGCTTTGTTGCAACGAAAACCTGCAGCCACACCGGCCCTCTGCAGCTAAGACTGGACACCCCTGATATACAGTGACTAACTGTGAAACTGTGAGATCACTCCTTGGTTAACAACAATTACACGTCTAATTACACAATTCTACTACAGATGACTCTTCTCAAACTCAAGAGGCCCTCAATCAAACTGCAGGAACTTTCGGTTTTGGCTTCTGAAGTATATGGCAGGGTCATAATTACAGAAGACTTCTCGCTGTGATGGACAACAGGCTGCGTGTCCAGTGTGAGCGTGAGGCGAGCTGAAGCCTGGCCTGTGTGTGGGAAAGACTGTGACTGTGAGGAGGAAGAGATCAATGGAGTGAATTGTGTGTCTCAAATCGTCGGAATCAATCACACTGTTGTCCTCTCTCACTCATTGGCTTGTGTGTTGTGTATGTGTGTTTGCGTGCAGGCCTCATGGGGGCTTTTAGACGGTTTTGTTCAGGACAGACATACATTGGGGTGGAGCAGAGAGCCGAGGAGGAAAAGAGAGCCAAGAGAGAGTGGTCAGTTCGTCCGAAACGAGATGCTATCACGTTTGCCTGGAAGCTTCGCTGGTACACGTACCGCAGGCGGCACTCCCTCGAGAGTTCAAACATCAACAGCCCTGCTGTGGTTTCTCAGAAAGGAACGGTTCACCAAGCAAGGGCAAGTGCAAGGGCGTGGATGTGTTCTCTTTCTCCTTTCCCCTCGTTCTTAGCCTTTCGTTCGCTCTGTTTTTCTTTCTGCGGTAAACCACGACTTATCACTTCTCACAATCTGTAGGTCTAATGTTGGAGGAAGGTATTGAGATTTGCTGGTGTCAGATTATAACAGTGCTTGCCTAGCCTACCTCTGCACCTCAACTAATTTTAGTAGCTTGTAAACAGCAACGTATCTGACCGTCTGGGTTGTGTATCACATGTACACTGTTGTGTCTGTTCGGAGGATATGAGGGTGTGGGCGCTCTTCATGTTGAAAACCACAAACTGTTAAAACTTGTGGCTGTGATTCAAAACGAAACATCTAGGAGAGCTCTAGGGACAAATCTCTGAACATCCCAACATCATATCGCCCTAAAACAGGTGATGCATTGAATGAACTCCATTCAAATGTGATTCAAATAATTTTCCACATAAATAAAATATATTACACTTAAGACAATTTTGTCCTCCAGTACTTTGTTTTGGCATAATTGTGTTGATGCAATGTATTTTATTCATGTGGTAATAATGTACACATTTAAATTAAGTTTTCAAAACTTTTACAAGCAAAAAATAAAAACATACTCTATTGCCAAGTCTCACTGAGAGATTCTTCCATCAACATAACGTTTACATGGACAAATGTTTAAGGCTTATGCATTAATTTATGCCACAAACAGTTTTAAGGTGGTAAAAATTCTCAGTTGTCCACTCTCCATACTAATATACTAGCCTATTGACAGGACTGTAAGGGCTCTTAAGTACTCACTTGTGCCTAATCTGTATCTCAAAGCAGGTTTTAATTAAAACATGTGCTCAAAATCTCAGGCTCTGATTCACTTGAGTGTAACAATAATGGTTCACATAATGATTCTAGTGGTTAATGTTTGTTCAGGGAGAATTAGTTAAGGGTGTCTCAAAGGACACTTATGTTCTTTTTTTGAGTGAAAATTCTTACCTCAAAATAGAAGACTTCATCGAACTGAGGGTTGTTGGTTTTCCGCTTGACCTTGGTCTTTTTGGCTTCTGACCTATGAATGATGAAAAAGACAAGAAAGATGAGAAAGAGAACAGAAATTATGATCCTGCATGCTCTTTGTCTTCAATACAAAAGTAAGGTTTGCCAGGTATTTTCAGGCAAAATAAATAAAAAGGGTCTCATCAGGCATTGTTACAGCAGCAAAACTGCATACTAGCAGCCAGACTTTCAGTGCTGCTACTCTACATGAATAAATACATTACATCAACACAAAAAGTAGGTAAATTGAAAGTTCTGAATGGCTTTTTCCTTATCATTGCCTTTATGTATAGCTGGTAGAATCCAAGTCATCATAACCTGGTCTGGCAGTTTTTACCTGGATGGCCCCAATAAGGAGACTGCAGCATAGGGGTCACACTGTCCATTAACGATGGGCAGGCCTTGGCACTCCAACACTCTGAACAAAGAAAAGAAAAAGCCAACAGTTATCAGATTAATCTGACAACTTACTCTTCACTTGTAGTCAACAATAAATTGGTGAAATAAGGGCTGAAACTACATTGTGCCACCAAATACAGAGCTGGGTGTTTTCAACTACCTCACCATTCGATTCTTTTCACAAGGTGTCACGATATCACGTGGCACAGCTTACAAACCACATTAGTCACATCAAGTTCATGAGATTCTGTTTTCTTAATAACGTCAAAGTGGACCACCCAGGGACAGTTTAGTAACTTTTTTGTGAGCGTAAGAAACTCCAAAAACTTGATGGATGATAAAAACACTTTAATTTACCAACTACCACTCACATCCCTTAAAAATGATCTAATACAGTTTTAGGCAGCTAAAAATGTTTAAAGCTATTTATCTTGACAGTAAGTGTGTTTTTGCCTGTAAAACACTATACCGTATTAGAATACGTATAAATAAACTGTAATACAGCAAAACATTGTTTTAGTCACTTTTAAAGGCTATTGATATCTTGTTTAGGATAACAGTTAGTAAAACAAGTTTCACTGCACTACAGCCATTGTATGGATTTGTTAATTTCCATCAGCACCACCTGATTTAATGTAATGAAAGATTAATTAGCTGAAGCAGGTATTGGATGGTAACTGTAAATACTGGACTTCCACAAGGATAAGTTTGGAATCGGTTAAGCTAACATACAACATCAAAATCTATTGTTTATTTATTTAGTCCAGATAAATTGCTTTAAATATTACTTTTTCAGGTGCACAAGACTTCTGCACTGTAATGTACGTCTACTCTAATATTATTTAAAACAGAAACCAGTCAGCACCACCTTGCTGACCCAAACATTTTTCTAACAGCTTGATTAGTTAAGGAGGAACATCCAAGGGACAAATATACACTGATAATTTTGACCAGGCAGACACAGATCTTAGCTTTGTCACTGAAGTATTTTTGGACCCTGTTGCCTGGGCAGCAGAGCCTGGAACTAATCAGATTTCACTTCCCTCCGTTCCCCAATTAAAGTGCAACAGATCCAGACCCAGAAGACTTTGAGGAACTCAAGATGGCTGGAATCGACACTAGTTTAGACTCAGATGCTAATACAGAGCAAGACAAACTGTGGGGAAAGTTCAGTGTCAGATTTCCTCAAGTGACATCCTCACAAGTATGTGGCCTGCATATCTTATCTCAAAGAAGATAAGGATGCTAGATATGTGTATCTGGTTATTCTTTAACCTCAGCCATCCTTTGTTCCCTCAAAAGATACCACTGTCATCTGTGACTGCTTAATCTCGGACTTTAGATGTTGGAATTCCCATCCAAACCCTCCGCTGACGTTTTGTTATTGATCTGCATGATATTTATTTTATCTCTTGCCCTCTCAGCTGCCAGCCGTTCATGATTATGTGCCATTTCAGAGCTGATAAATAGAATACCCCAGCATTTTCAACCTAATTTCTTGCTTCAGTGTTATGAATCATCAGATGTTCTGTTTTTTTTGCAGGTAAACGTGTTGAAAATTGCCTTTTTGAAAAAATAGAGTATTCCTTTAAAAGGGAATCCCATTAAATCAAGGAGATGTAAACAAAGTCATTTGTAGCAGTCTGGTGTGAAATGGTTGTAGAGAAACAATGGTAGTAACAGGAACCAGAGGTTGTGATGTCTGCAACACAAATATAGCCATTTTATTTACTATCCAAAATGACAAGTGAACTAACATGTGTCTTCTAAGTTTCATATGTGATGCTGATGATACAAAAATACTGCTAAATCTGTAAAAATGCATTTTCTTTGGGGACTATTTTGCCACACAACACCCTGCATATACCTCTTCACCATGAATTTAGGCCAAAACCTTCTCTCCAAACTATCAAAAACAACATCTCAGGCATCAGGCAGCCTAGTCAAACCACATCATGTAATATCTTTCTGTGAGGTAGCTTTAACCCCTTAAACAGCCCAAAGTTTTATTACACATTTCTATAACTTAGGAACAGCTCACCCAATCTGCACTGATGTCCCTGCAGTTACCGAATAATAAGCCTTACTATGCAGTAAGCCTGAGATTTTAGGGGGTTAAAATCCATTAAACTCTTCAGTTGTCTGGTTTCTATCACCACCACTGTGAACAATGCTGACTTGCTAAGTTTCTTTAGAGTGGAGCACACACATCAAATCCCTCTCAATTCCTTTGTTTACATTTTGAAAGATTAGTGAAATTCTCCTTTAATGTATCTAGGAACAGTCTGACTTCTATAGTCTATTTTGCTGGAGTATCTGGCAGCCTATCTTTCGCCACCAGCATCTACATCCATGACCGCTCTGTTCTTGCCAATGACCCTGTTCTGCTACTGAGAGTCCTCAGATCTCCTGTGTCATCACTTAACACACACACACACTCATTTGAGCGCTGTGCCAGGTGTGTGACTATGCCCTGAGCCGTCTGGCACGATTCTGGTTTCCACAATTAAAACCCTTGCACAAAAACATGCTCCTACATGTTTCCCAGATGTCAATCAAAGGTATAAATCAAGACCATGTCTCACTGTCTGGTTTGTGTACTGAAAGTAGATGCTGTTGTGTCTGTGTAGAGGATGTGATGGTGTCTATGATCTTAAAGTGGAAAACCACAAACTGCTAAAAGTTGTAGCTGAGATTCAAAACGAAACATCTAAGAGAGCTTTGCAAACAAATCTCAGATAAATCTTGTATTCCAGAGGACAAAAACAAAATCTACTCAAGTGCTGTTACAACTCCACTAGTCAGTGCCGAAGCTGCCAGTGGCCACCTGCACAGCTTCAAGGCATGGCTGTTCATTTCTGCACCTCAATACAGGTTTTAAACAGCCTATATGATTGATATACATTTTTTTTCAGTATTTAGTGTGTTCACCCTTTGCCTTTATTACAACTTCCATCCTTTCAGGAGCTATCTGCAGAGATATTTTTCACACCTACAGAAGGTTTCACTCTTCGAAGCTGGTTGCATTTTCTACTTCACATGTTTGATATAATATAGGTTTAGGCAGTACAACAGTAATAAGGCACACTGTGACATTAAAAATGCTGCTGATATAAAAAAAAGGTGACAGAATTTCAAAATTACTACGTGTCAAATTTCTATTTCAAGTCTGAACAGCCAATTTAATGAATTCCACCCATTTATATTGTAGAGGGGTCACTGACAGGTGGTGTGGGAGCTCACTGGTAGAGGGGAAAAATCTGAGCCAGAAAATACCGCAGAAAAACTAAGCAGGACAACAGCACAGCGACAGAGCTACAATCACCACAGAACACTTTAAATTTAACCTTTCAAACACCAGTCAATCAACTTCATGTTTTCAGATTTTCTCTAAACAGGTGCCATTTTAACACCAGTTAACTGCAACCAAGTCTGTGCGGTGATGCATGGTACGTTTGGCCTGAATCATTTTCATCTTAACTTGTGTCAGTACTTTGGTTAACCAGAATCAAACATGTTCTGTGTTGAGCAAAGCTGTTATCATGCTAGCTAAGCTAATACTAACCAGCAGCACTGTTTAACACAATTGTTAGACAGACTGTTTGACCTCTATTGAATGACCATGAAAGTGAACTAAATCATAAAAAAGCCACTTTTTCAATTCATGAAAATGAAACATCAAATGTGGTCTGTGCAAAAGTTACAACACGTTTTAAATATCTGATATTTTAAACTAAGCAAATAAATAGAAACTGTGCACTACAATTTAACAGTGCAAAGTGGAACTTATTTTCACTTAGAAAACCAACAAAACATAAAATTTGACTGGGGTGTTCAAACGTCTGCATATGACTGCATGTGTGCTGATTAATGAATGAACAGTAAACGGACGTGAATAAGCTGGTAGACAGTAATAGCGTCCTTTATGATGTCACATCCAGCCAATGAGGGAAGAGCTCACGTTGGTTTCAGACAGGAGCTGAATGACATCATGACGGCACATTACGTAAAGCCTTGTCCCGCCAGCCGGGATCAACGACTCATAACACATGCACACACACACACACACACACACACACACACACACACACACACACACACAGCTGTCTGTGACTCACACTGTTCACACACTTCTGTTATTCAGGCTCATATAGACAATAAGAGGTAGGGAGCATTCTACTGAGTCAGATCTTATTGAAATAAATGATTGAACATCCCATTTTGTCAATAACAAAACAATCATAACACTATCAAAACTTTACCAAATGTTTTGGTCATGACTGTTATGATAAGCACAGCTGCACACACATAAATCATAATATTTTCATTAAAACACAAAAAAGCTTAGTTTTTTGTAGTTGCAGAAAATATGTATTTCGGTAATGACAATTCTTATGATCACACACTGGTTTTCAGACTTGGACCGTAACAGCAGTCTCACTAAAATACGGCTCCGCCTATGGACTGATCTTATTACTCTCTCTATTAATGACTCGGGCTTAAACAGATCATTCTGAATACTTAACTGCTTTTCAATTTTTTTAATTTATTTTTTATTTATTTTTATTTAACTAATTTGGTAGAATGGTCCATATGCAGACACAACCAGAAAAGACGTAAAGGTTTCACATACAAACACAAAAGAATGCAAATGTAATTCATTATGTACAGTCATATGCAAAAGTTTGGGTGCCCTTCGCCAAATGACGTTTTGTTGATTTTCCAAGTCAAAATAAGTTAAAACATTCTCTACAGGGAACATGCTTCTGCACATTTTAATACACAATTACTGTTTATATTTACTGAATTTAACATATTGGAAAGAGAAATTAACATAAAATATGACCTGTGCAAAGGTTATGGCCCAGCAGGTTAAACTCAGCAAATAAATTTAAATTGAACTCATGTAATCTGACCAGGGGGGTTCAAACTTTTGCCTACGACTGTACAGTACTGAAAGTCAGAGACTACACATCATTCATTTAATTTCCAGCTAAAATGGCTATTATGTAAAGGTTA